CTCCAGACGACCGCCCTCCTAGGCATCGGCGACGACCTCTTCGACATCCGATGGCGACACAAGTGGTGGATCCCAGGCCTGGCCTCGGTCCCCATCCTCGTAATCTACTTTGTCGACTTTGGCGTCACCTCCATCGTCATCCCGATCCCCCTCCAGCCCTACCTCGGCGAGCTCTTCGACCTCGGCGTCCTCTACTACATCTACATGTCCTGCATCGCAATGTTCTGCCCTCAGTCCATCAACATGCTCGCAGGCATCAACGGCATCGAGGTCTCCCAGTGCATCGTCGTCTCCCTCCTCCTCGTCCTGAACGACTGCCTCTACCTCTTCACGCCCTACCCCCACCCGGCCACCGACTCCCACCTCTTCTCCCTCTACCTCCTCCTCCCCTGGCTCGGCGTCTCCTTCGCCCTCGTCCTGCACAACTGGTACCCCGCCAAGGTCTTCGTCGGCGACACCTACTGCTACTTCTCCGGCATGGTCTTCGCCACCGTCGGCATCCTCGGCCACTTCTCAAAGACGCTCGGCCTCCTCCTCGTCCCCCAGCTCTTCAACTTCCTCTACTCGACGCCCCAAATCTTTGGCCTCATCCCCTGCCCTCGTCACCGCTTGCCCCGATTCAACGCTCGCACCGGCCTCCTCGAGACGAGTAAGACGCCTTGGAGCCCCGAACGCCAACCCCGGCCCCTCGTCGCGCAAGGACTGCACCTGCTCGCCAAGTTGCGCCTTCTGGAAGTTACAGTGGACGAAAAGGGCCGCTTTGTGGAGACGAGCAACTTCACCCTGCTCAACCTGTGGCTCGTCTGGAGAGGTCCCCTGAGAGAGGACCGCCTCGCGTGGGAGGTCACCTTCCTCCAGCTCTTTGTCGGCCTGTTTGGCCTCTTTGTTCGCCATCGCCTCGCTCTGCTCATCTTTAAGGAGGATAACTGGGGTATGACGACCAAGAGATACTGAGTAAACATGCCGTGTGTTATGGGCCTTACAAAAGACCTCTGGACCTCGCACGTTTATCAATTTTCATCAATCCTGGAACCGCGTTCCATCCGGATTTTCTTGCCTCATTTTCTTGTCTGGATTTCGCATCGCAATGGGGGACGGACGGCATGGCTAGGAGAGCCGTCTGTCTGTACTATACCGAAAGAATTGGTTGGAGGTTTGAAATTGAGATACCCTGTAAGAGTACCTGGCGGGCATGTAAGACCCGAGATCGACACTCTTGAGAGATGGTCGATAAAATCAAGATAGAATTGCAAAAGTCACATCACAAGTATGGCATCAGGGAAACAGGATATTGTGAGCGAAAACTTAGGCAGCCTGTTCCCAGCTGCAAAAAAAAATGAGCCATCCATTGGTCATGGGAGGGGTGTAGTAGTCCCGCACCGAGGCGACTTCCACGTCGCCCGGCACAGCTAACAAAGCCTAGAAATACACACGAAAACATGCCGTTCGTGGCAAGAGTAGTTGGAACCTCCTTTCCGGTCTTTTCAACTCGTATCGGTCGATACCCGGCTCTTCACTGCGTCTGTCCGTGTCCCCCTTACGTTACGCCATAGATCCCCCATCGAAGAAAAGATTCAGCTTTCCTGCCAGACGACAAAAACAAAATAGTGTCGAAATTGGCTTGTGTGTTTTTCGTAAGACGTGCATTTTCTTTTTGCAGCTCCTCCCAAAAACAACAGTAAAACGAAGTTCATTTGAAGACATTCCCGAAAAAGCGCTGACCGAACCCGAGGAACCCCTTCCCCTTTCCCTTTCCCATTGTCCGTCGCTGCCCAAACGCCAAAGTCAATCACCAGACTGTCGCCGCCCCGAAACGTTTTTGATAATATTTAGAGGGGAAATAAAAGCCGCCGTGTCATCTTCGGAACTCGTGAACCCCGTTCTATGTTACAGCGTGTTGGCGGCCGCAGCCGCAGGATTCGAGTTGATCGTGTTACCCGTAACGGGTGTAAGAACATCCGCACTCTTCTCAACCACTGGAGAATCGACGATAGCATCGAGCGTTGGCTTCGTCTCCTCAGTGCCAGAGAGTGAGGTCTTCAGAGCGCCAGCAGGCTTGGCCTTGTTCATCCTGCTCTTGGTGTAATCGCTGAGGCTCAACTTCTTCTTGACCGGACTTGGATGTGCCGCAACACCATTGGCTGCAGTCGGAGCAAATGGACTGGGTAGACTGCTTGCGGAGAACGGCGACTGGATTGTCGACGGTGTTGAGGCACTGGGAGTCGCCGATGTGGGTCCGTTGAAGGCAGGGACCGGTGGCATCGTGACTCGTAACTCCGGTGATCTCATCTTCAACGGGCTGCTTGAGCCATTCGCGGGTCCATCTGAAACGCTGTCGGTCTGCAGGGGCGATTTTACGGTGCTTGGCGAACTTGTCGGAGCATCCGACATCACGACATCGCCAGCAGGAGGAGCGGCTGGCGATGTATCGCGGGCTTGATTGCCAATATCCTTGGAGGGCGGAGGAGATTCAGCACTAGGCTTGACCTCAGCTGGTTGATCCACGTCCATGGGTGTTGGTTCCCGAGCGGAGAGAGAAGAGAGTGACTTGCGTCTCTCGACTTCATCACAGCGTAGGCGGTGTCGATTGTTGAGCAGCCGTTGCGAAAGAGAAATGATACGGCGTCGTGGCCTGGGTGTTTGAACGGGCTCACTGTACCACTCGCCCTCGACAGGGTCGGTTTGTACACCGGCATCGCAGTAAACGGGACGAGGTGTGGATGATGTTCGCCCGGACTGGGAACCGACCGACTCGGCTCTGGAGGCAGGTGCCTTGAACGGATTCTGTGCCGTTGGTGACACGCCACTTGAAGGGGAATTCGACTTGCTTCGAGATGTTCCCGCATCGACGTAGTGTGTAGTGCCGCTGGATGCGTTGCTGGTTGAGCTCCGTTGTTTCGTCTTGGAAGAACCGGAAGTGGATGCCGTGCCATCGGATGTTCGCTTCTTCTTGCGTGGAGGTTGTTGCTGTTCCATTCGTCGGAATGAGTCTTCAACCATTTGAACCTTGCGTTTGTCCCTGTCAGTCGGTTCTGTGAGGATACCTGGCCGATCCAATGAACCCTGGCGTACGGGCGTGCGATCACGACTAGGCGGTTTGCTGCGCTCAGAAACTGACCGACCGTCGTTGTCGGCGTCGTCTTGGTGTCCCTCGCTAGCTGCGCGACTGTTTGTAGCGTGACCGGTGCTGGTGGGAGAGATGGTGTGGGTTTTTGGCTTTCGTTGTTTCTTCTTTGCGGGAGGCCGAGACTGAACCTTCGCTTGGTGTTGTCTGTGGAAGCGAGCAAAGGCACAGTTCGCACCCAAGTCACACGCACAGCCGCCGTACTCGGACAATATCCGATGAATCCAGCCCGATAGTGTTTGGTACTCAGCCTCGTCCATCTCCGACTCGTTCTGCGTATTGGTGTCGTCGTCAGCGAGGCCCAGCAGATGCACTAACCGTGCCTGGAACTTCTTGGGTAGCCTAAAGTCCCATGGTAGAGTAATTTGCTCGTTTGCCGCGATGTATCTGTCGCTCATGAGCCAGAAGTGATACTCAGATTGGCCTGACAGGTACGTATCCAGCAGGGCGTTGGGCTTGCAGCTTCGTCGAACGAAGCGAGCCATCGATCCTTCTTTCCTGGTATCAATGTACAAGGGAAGCATGGGGTGGAAGAAAACAAAAGGTAACGGGGACGAAAGTTCCTCCCATAGGTTTTCGGGATCTGCGCAGTAGTCCTTTTGGAATCCGATCACGCCGTTGAGTTCAATCAAAGGGACGTCTTTCTCGATGGCGGCAGGGGTAGCAAGATATTGCCATCGTAATGTCGTCTCTGGCGAGACAGGAATCTTCTTGCTCTCGACGTGAAGCTGACGCTTGCGAGCGTCAATGTCTTTCGGCAGCTTGGCAAAGACGTCGTTGAATTCCTCGCCCGTCTCTTGCCTCATACGATCCGGTTCCCGAAGCCAAACTGACAAGGTATTGGAAACGAAGAGGCTCGCAAAGGAATTGATGCGAGTGATGGGGATGTCTGCTTCTTTGCTCATGGACAAGAAGCCGTCCGAGTAATTGTGTATTTGGAAATCGCTCGGAAGGTCCGGGGGAGTAGTTGCTGGGCTTGGGGGGTGGCCGTTGGGTTGTGATCGCCCACCATTGCCGTACGAAGGACTTCGCTTTGCGTTCTGAGAACTGATCGAATGGGATGGCCGATGGGATGACTTCACCTTCTTGGTTGGGTGAGGGTGGTCGCTCGGACTTCCGTGCTTTGCATTCTCCTGGCCCACAGGGTGGCCATTCAACTGCAAGTCCGTTGGCTTTGGCTTCTTCTTGTGGCTTTTGGATGGCGGGCGTTTGGCCTTCTTATCTGGTATGGTTTCTGTCGTGGGACCATTCTTTAGTCGCCGGGTTCGCTCGATGGCCTTTTGTCGATCTAGGGGGCGCGGCTTGCAATCAGCGCACGAGTGGGCAAAGTCTTCGCGGAGGGCCTCCTCGCGACTGTGAGGGTAAAAGCAGTCGATGTGCTGCCACGTGTCACACGTCTCGCAATAGATCGTGTTTCCATCATCGTCAGTGAAGTTGCAAATACACTTGATCGTGTACGGCTCTTCTTCCTCTACCGTCTCGGCCTTGCGTGGCACATTGTGTGTTGAGACTGGTACGCTCGGGGCGAAGAGGGTCTGACTAGGAGTCGCGGTCTGCGTCGACAGCGGCTGGGGCTTTTCGGTCATAATCTAGGTTTGCCTCGTGGTGCGAATTGAAGTCGAGGTATTGGGTGAGATGATTACTGTTGCGGCCTGGGTAGCATGACGACGCCTGTCTAGACGCACAGGTACAAGCCGTCGAATGAACCACAGAAACAGCAGTACGCAGGGCCGTCGTCATCCGTCGGCGGGAAGGATATGGTCGAGTCGAGGGTTCTCGACGAAGCTGGGTAAGGTAGGACTCGGTGGGATTGTCGAGTCCGGCTCACAAAGGACAGGTCGTCGCAGAGGCGAGGAACGGTCCAACAAATCGCTTCTCACACACCGCGGTCGTCCCGAAACCAGGAAAACACCGTTAGGTTGTCACAAGCGTGTGTTGTGGGCGTCGTGAGGTGGAAAACTTTTCGAATTGTGATCGCGAAGAGCGTGTCCACGAACCGATCGAAACCAGCAGACGGATCAAGTCGAAGAAAGGGTTGAGCGGTTGCGCCTCGTTGACGGGGAGGGATGGAGCGTTTCGAAAAGCTGGGCCGAGTCGGGAGAATGTAGTATGAGGAGGAAATCGAGTGTTGAGGACCGGAGGTGAGGTAGAGAAGGGTGTTTTGGGTCGAGCAAGTGAGGGTGGAAAAGAGATTGAAAGAGAAGAAGAGAGGGGGGCACGACACGAAGGAGAGAAAGATGGATGGGTCCCCCAAAGGAGCGTAGCAGACACCAGCGGTGGTGGTGGTGGCAGCAGCAGCAGCAGTACCTGGGTAGGAGTAGTAGGTAGCAGTGCTGGTGCTGGTGCGGTGCGGTACGAGTTGAGCGAGACAGGTCCCAGTGCAGGAGCGTGCAGGCCGGAGCCTAGGCCAAGCCGAAAAGAGAGAGAGGGCGAACGAGCAGGAACAGTGACTGCACTGCTTAGGTTGGGGGACTTGGACTCTGCGGGCTTGGGGACTGACTGGCACCTTGTGCTTCGGTGCGCGGATTGCGGACTGGAAGATGGGGGGGGGGGGGGGGGGAAGGCAAGGGAAGGGGGGGCGTCTTCGAAGATGGGATTTTTTGGGGGGAAGGGCGATGAGGACTCAGGACGGGTTGCTGGGTGCTGGGATGCTTGGGGAGCATCGCACCTGCTCAGCTTGAGATGCCCTGGCACCTGGCCCGTCGCCCGCTGGCTGGGGAGCACTGGCTACCACCAGCCAGTCCGCCAGCCGTCACAGCCTGGTATGGCCGGACATGCGCTGGAGGGAAGGGCGACGACAACAGGACGGGGGGAGACTAGAGACGGGAAGACAGACGAGGAAGAGAGTGAGAGAGAGAACGGGAGACGAGGGCAGAAAAGCCAAAGCCCGTGTGTAGGGAAAACAGGGTACAGAGGTACCGGTACTTACTTGAAGCTAAGCCCGAAAGGCGGTGGACACGCTGATATGAGTGGCTCCAACTGTCCAATCAGATGTCTAGCGCAGATCCATGATGCCTCAGGCAGAAGAGGTTTCAGGCCGCAACCAGACACAGAGAAAATGGGAAAGTGTGTGATGGTTCCCGTCTGATGAAGGACTGGTGAGTGCCTTGTTAGCCCTCCGCACCAGACGCGCCTGAGAGGTCGACCAGGCAAAGAAGAAGGCGGAGAGGGCGAAAGAAAAAAAAAATCCAAGTCTGCGTGATAAAAGAAGCAAAATGTTGGAGAGAAAGTGGAGTGAAGACGCTATCCGCAATAAGTGTACCGAAAACAAAATCAAGGAGGCATTCGACTAGAACAGACTCTCATCATCTTGATGAGAGCAGCTGGCGGCCACGGAACGTCGGTTTGATGTGAACAAAAACAAGAGGCAGACTCGTCTGGTGGGAGTGGAGGGACAAGAAGCGGCATGCAAAGATTTAATGAGTAATAAGAGAGAAAGAAATGGGCAGGCAGCGTGGTGTTGGTGTTTGGTGCGAGTTGGGTGATGGATCCTCTCTGGCCCTAGCAGAAACGCCGGGCGGATGTGACGGGAGGAGCGAGAGGTGGAACAACCGAGGGCGAAAGGCGACGGCAGACTGGTCGAGGACTGGTCGAAAGAGGGGTGACCCGCGCGACGGGAGTGACTCTGCGTGCGCCATACGGATGGATGGGTTCATGGATGCCTTGCTTCGCTGGTTTCTGCCTGCAAAAGAGAGGACATCCGCGTGCCATATGCGTAGACGAATAAGATATCCGTCAGGTAGGTAGGCGTGGAGGGCGTAGGCGGAAGTGAACAGCTGTGAGCACTGAATCCCTATTGCCGTAAGCCAGGAGGGGAGAAGTCGACGCCAGAGACACGGGAGAGAGAGTATGTGACTGGTATCTGGCCGACGGAAGGCTAGGCATAAGATAAGCGTAGGTTTGATTGCTTGTGTGCTCCATACTATGAGCGGGAGAATGCCGGCGTCGCGTTGATCTCCTCGTTGAGTTCCAGTTGAACAAGCGTCGAATTCGATGCCTTCAAACATGGTAGCGTCTTTGGAAAACCAAACCAGCGAAATTCAAGACTGAGAATCGGGGATGACCATGGCTTTCATCCCATCCCGAGGGAGACGTGAGGCCCGTCCAATTATGCGCAATCTGGGTTTTCTTAAAATAGGAGGCCTTCGAGTGACTTGCCGTTGGCGCGTCGTTTCGCAGGAAACCTTTGTACCCTTGCCCCCTATTCTGCCCGACTTGTGAACAAGTGAGTGGTTGCTCTTCTCTGATTTGTGCTAGGTAGGCAGCTAGACGACGTGGGCGGGTGGCAAGAGTCACTTTCCGGTTGAGGGCAGCCCAAGTCCAACCCGCCATGGCGCCAGGGGTAGAAGAAGCCAACGGGACTGGAGAGACACTCGGGGGGCCCTCCGCTGGAGGTAAGGTGGTGAGTGGTGAGACTGAGAAAGAAGGCCTCTGCTCCAATGGGAGACCATGGGCAGACTTCAAAGGCGCCGTCATCCACTCTGGACTCCACTGCTTCGAATGCTCTTCGCATCCAAGCCCAATATCCACTTTCGTCTCTCTCTCTCTCTCTCTGATCCATCATAGAAGAGCTTCTCACTTCTCGTCGCAGAATTGTGTGTCCAGCCGAAAAGGTACGAATACGGCAGTCGAGAGTTCATCGCGTCGAGGGCTACGGAAACGAAGCGGACGCTACACCAAAATCAGCCACCCATAGTTACATGTACGTACACACCTCAACGAGGACGGGAGTGACTTACTGGATAGATAGGCCGAGGTACCTTGAGAACTTCAAAGGAAGCAAAAGGAAGAAAAGGTACATCTCTATACGTCTCTGGCTCAGCGACTCTTTTCGGCTGCAGTGGGATCGGATTGTATTGGATTTCCATTGGATAAAGTGGGGCTCGTCTGCGAAAGGGCAGCATTTCTGATGCTCCTCCTAAAAACCCAAAATGGTGAAGTCCCTCCTCCCCCAAGCCGCAAGTCCCACGGCGTAGCGTCGCGTCCTGCCGATTCCCACTTGTCTGAGGTCTCAACTCAACATCCCTCTCCCTTCTCTCATTGGTCAGTAGATCAATCTGGGAATGGCCGACCGGGTCTTACTGCCAGGGCCTAATATTATCGTGCATGGAGCCGGTCTTTCGCTCCCTGCAACAAGTCGCCCTTCCCCCTGGTCAAGCTGGAGACCTGCAGTTTTGCATGCGACTTTGCGTTGGAGTTTTGGAGGTGACAAACAGCTCCGACTCGGATGCGCAAATGTTGACTCTGGAGTGAGAGAGAGTCTGTCTCTGCTCGCCCACGCTCACGGCTGACGGAAGCTTTCGCTGGTTGTGTCGCAGAGGTAAGTATCTTCGCCGTAAGGTCAACCGCCCGCAGAGGCGGCCCTTGATGACTGCAGCTGGAGCTCTTCCACCATCACACTTTCCGTGAAGCCTCTTGCACAGCTCGTCAACCCAAGGCGACAGCAGCATGCAGCTTGAAGTCATCATCACTGCAGGCTGATGCGAAGCGTCCCCTCTCGGCACTGGAACTTCATCCCACCCTTTCGTTCGACACTTCGGTACGGAGTAGCGTAGCTGACTCTCGCCTCCAGTTGCTCTCCTTTTTTCTCCAAAATCCCACGCCGTCGCCCGATGCCCCTTCAACCATCTGCGCCAGATGGCTCGACCCCTCACCAAGACAGACTAGGTTGGCCTCCAAGAGCTCGGTAAATGGCACGCTGCGTTGAACTCTACTGCGAACTGTGAGTGTGTACACAGAAACGGAGGCATGGGGGGCGGCCCTTTGGGCTGCTGAGGTGTCATCTATCTGCCTCACCAAGCCATAGTTGCAGAAGTATCGGTACTTTGACCACGTTCAGTCAATGCTCCTCAGGTCCAGCACAATTGCGCGCCTCTAAATGCGACCACGCGCGGCGCCTTTGCGAGCAGTTGTGGTCCTTGTTGCCCTTGGGTTGACTGGTTGCCCAGAGCGCCCGGGTGCTCCAAGTACAGTACGACGTAGGGAGGGGAACATCAGTGCCCGCTGCCGTCTCGAAGGCTCGTCGAGCCTTTGCCGTTCATAATAATGCTTCCTCGGTGATGGGATCGACGGGAGGAACTGCGCTATCCTTCCGCTTTCTCGCCCCATCATCCTTTTCCTCAACTGGAGATACCGAGCAGACAAACAAAACAAAGAGTCGCGGTTTTCCGTCGTCCATCCGCACCCAGCTGGCGTAAAAGGGCCCCGGCATGATTCGCGGCCGGTGTCCCTCTAGCTAGGATCTCCCTGTCCTATGATCGCGTCCTCGAGACTTGTCCAAAAGTTTGCGACACTGATAGCCAGGGCTGCAGCTGAGTTGTCGAGGTGCCCCGTACTTGTTGACCACGGTCCCCAATCATCGTCCAAGCAGGTTGGCCACACTTTCCGGTTCACTCGAGCACTTGTTTGTGCCAGCTCCCTGCACTCGACGCCGGACTGATTGGTACAAGCCGACGGACCCGTGCACCACGGTTTTCCCACCATGAAAGACGCATGAGATGGTGTGGCTCCTGGTGTGGCTACCTTTCTTCTCAGGTCATCATCCATGCCGTAGCACGACTTCTTGAATCGCGGACGGAGTTCTGTCCAATCACGAAACCTGCGCAGTCGAGACCTCGAAGATGCTTGGATCGAAGGGCGCACCAAGCAGTTCTGGCTCTGATACTGAAGATCTTGGAGGAGCCAGCGGCTTGTAATGATGGAGAGACCCTGAACAGTTTGGCTGGCACTGGGCTTTCAATGCTGAGGTTGCTGTCTGTCTGCTTCGGTTCTGTCCACGGGACCAGAGTTCCAGGGATCTTCCAACAAAACCTGGGCCGTCGAAACAGCCCAGCTGCTCTGTGTGACAAGGCTCCAGCCGTCGCATAGGAGTGAGCACAGGCGGAGGCGAAAAGTCAAGTCCATTATTGTGGCTAGAACGCCGACAGCTCCTTCCTCGTGTGGCGCTCCGTCTTGTTTGCGCATGGACGGCTCCTTCAATGCGCAAATGGTGATATGGCACTCGCGACGCAATTCCATGGTTGCAGCTCGTAATCGAGGGACTCGGCCGTTTCAATCTCCAAAAGACGAAGGCGGGAGGTAATCTGGAGCTGGGAAGTCGATAACGAAAGTGGGATCTTTGGAGGGGAACGAAGCAGAAGAGTGGGAATTTTACGGTGGCCCGTGCGACGACGACGACAGGATTCGATGTACCTTTTGGGACATCATTCAAGAGGCTCTGTCGTTGTCTAGTGTACTTGCTTTGGTCCAGCAAAAGCATTATTTCGGAGGCTCCTTGTGGCTATTACTTCTGCAATGTGAGCCTATGCTCAAATAGCTATACTTCACTGTACAGACCTATACAAAGGGCACTGCTTGCTCTATACCAAAGATATGCAATGAAAGGTACCTCCAATGTCGCCATGGTCGCTGGGGAAGGCAAAGGCGCTTGTCCCGACCAAGGTCCACCTAGCTCCATCCAATCAGATCGATCTGACGTTGTCCCCATGACGTTCTCCCTCCGAACCCAGCCCCGTTCGTTGTTCACCACCTACCAACCAAAGCCACTCGCAGGAACCACTTCTCTATCACCTCCCATCATCCTCACGCTAAACATCGAACCTCGGACGCCGACGAGTACGCACCGAGCATCATCAACGACGTCGAGACCGCCGTTGTTCGAACCGCCCGTATCCCATCTTCCTAATCACTAAACAACCTCGACCTCTATCCGCGATGAGGTTCGCTACAGCTGTCATCGCCTTCCTCTCCGCCGGTCTCGCACCGGCCGGTGCCAGCGTCCTGGTCCAGAGAGACCAGTCCGTCATTGTCAACGATGACCTCAAGGTCCCCGGCGACTCGCCTTTAGAGCTCTGCCCCAAGTCCCATGATGAGGACATCGTCACAATCGACAGCGTAGACCTCTCTCCCAACCCTCCTCAGGCGTAAGTTTGTTTGCAGCAGCCCCCAGTCTATGACGATGCATACCGCAGTATCGTGAAACGGGAGCCAGCTAACATGGCGTTTCAGTGGCAAGGAGCTCGTCATCAAGGCTTCCGGCACCGTCAAGCAGAACATCGAGAAGGGCGCCTACGTCCTTCTCCAGGTCAAGTACGGCCTCATCCGCCTTATCAGCACCAAGGCGGACCTGTGCGAGCAGATCGAGAACGTCGACCTCGAGTGCCCCATCGAGAAGGGTGTTCTCACCGTCACCAAGTCTGTCGAGCTTCCTAACGAGATCCCCTCCGTAAGTCAGGCTCATCTATATGAACCTTATCAGATTATTGACAATATCTACAGGGCAAGTACACCGTCTTTGCCGACGTTTACACCGCCGATGACGTCCCCATCACTTGCTTGACCGCTCAAGTCGTTTTCTCGCGCAACACCAAGAGCTTCTTCAGCCTGGAGCTCTAACTTAATTACAAGCATACGAAGGTTTACGATGATGGGGCATGGGTTACAGTCACACGTAGCGATACATCCAGATTGCTGTTGGGGTTTCTCTTCATCTCATAACACTGGTAGCATCAGGAATTTGGCATAACGCAGTTCAACTTGCCCGTGTGATGGATCCGTTTGAGGGTCCTTTTAAGTGTTCATTCTGCGTAGGAGTATCGGCATAACAATGCGTACGTACATAGGGTAGCGGTGCTAGGCATGTAGCTCGCAATTTATTCGTGATAGGCCGGTGCGGTCCATCCAAACTCCGAATACGCTGCCGGCGTACCATGCTTTTGCCTCTTGGCCCTTACTATCCCCATAATCTGTGGAATTACATGCTTATTCGCCAAACAACCGGCGCACTCTGCGCAAAACACTGTCCTTCTCGGGGTCGTACGGGTGGTCCTTGCTCGGAATTTCGAGAACAGTCGGGAAAGCAGCAGTGTAGGTATCGACCCGATGTCTTATGCGATCGGCAATCTGTTCTTTCAATCAGTATGTGTTCTCTTGGCACAAGGCCCTCCCCCCCCCCCCGGGGGGGATCGCTACTGACGTGTTGGTTGATGAGGATGATGCCAATGTCCTTCCTCGAAGTGAAGGATTCAAAGGTAGACTCGATCGTAGCGGTGTCCGTCTTGCTATCCACCACCAGGAAGTTCTTTTCTTGGTCGGCACCCGTGCTGACGTGCTGTGCACTTGTTAGTCATCTCGAGCCGCAATCGGAATCGTCGTGGAGTCGAAAGAGCGCACCCCAATGCCAGCGAGGAGGAGGCCGGTGACCGAGTCCTAGTTCTCAAGTTTTAGCCATTTGTCATCAGTCATAGTGTCGACTACGCAAAGTGTCCTACCTCGTCGCCAATGACGGCGAGGAACTGGCGGTCCTTCATATCTGCTTGCGAAGCCATCTTGGATGACTTGTGCGGTTGTTGGAGAGCTTGCGATGGCCCAGGAGGTCGGCGGACGGATTGACGTACTTGCCTTGATTACCTGTACCCGACCTGGCGGCGGGCTGGCAGCGCTCCACTCCAGCACCTCACTGTGGCTGAAGTGCTGTTAGCGCTGTTCCGCCAGGTACCGCCTGCTGGAGCCCGAACTGCTAACAGGCTCGGATGAGGTGTGGGCTATGCGACAGAAGCCAGTGGAGACCCCACTTGCAGCATTCCGGTACGTATCTCCCAGGTGCTTTCAGTTTCCTTTCAGTCTACGGTCCATGCACATAAGGAAGGTACCCCTGTCGAAAGCTCCTCTTGCCTAGCAGCGGGACAATGGCCCAAAAATCAATAGACCCAGACTTCTTTGTAAACAATTTCACCTAGCGACGAAATCGACGACGACAACGACGACAAACGACACCGACGCACCACTCGATCCCGCCCGTCGACCACGAAACCATCGCCTCTGAGGCTTCCAGAATCCCATCCGCCCAGAAGTCGCCTGTTGATGGCAAGAAGCGCAATCTGACGAGATGCCGCGTCTAGTGCGAAAGAAGCCGCTCTCTGAGCGCCTGAAGGCCATGCTGAACCCTATGGACTTCTTGCTCTGGCTATCGGAAGAATTGGAGACGAGAGATTGGGATTCAAAGGCACTAGGAACACAGCTCGGGCTCGGCTGCAACTTCGTGTTTCTCCTTGCTAGAGCTAACTGCGTAGCATCGGAGGTCGAGGATGATGTGTTCAGCGATGGGAGCTCCGGGGGCATCGTCACCTACATTGTCAGTAGCATCGAGTCGCATGGGTTGCGCATCATGATTACTAACAAGTCCTCAGGTGCGGCCCCTCGTTTGGATTCTTGGCCTCCTATCTGTCGCCAACGCCTTCTATACCATGTCGAGAACGAGGCAGTACCGATTATTCCAAGTCAACGTTGAAGACAAGCCGCACACCCCCTCAGCCCAACGAGTCAAAGCCAGGTCCGACCCGGCCGTCTCTTCGCCCCTGAGACTCTTGAATAACCTCCTGTCTTCCGAGACTGCCGAGTCCCGAGCCCACCCCGACAGGTCACACGACGTCTGGGAGCTAAGTGTCTGGGATCCTCTCCCGGTCTCTTTGCAGCTCTTCTGCCTCTTCAGCCCTGGCCACGTCCTTGTCTACATGATGTTCCTCCCTCTGGTGCCCTTGGATCCCAGACCGAGTGTAACAGTTTTCAACTGCATTGTGCTGCAACTCATTCTTTCCGTCCAGCTGATTTTCGTCCAAACTCGGTATGCTCAGCAGATCAAGGATACGGCTATCATCCACAAGGAGGTCCTCCACGAGTACGACACCAAGTTCGTGCGGCCACGTCTTCACCCGGTTGTTCGCGATGTCGGCACACAGTGTTCGCCTGAAGAGGCTAAGGATGAAGAGTCCTTTGTCGAACTGGGAACGCCTACGACGGTTATCAAGAAAGAGTTTGTGGTTACACCCAATCCTCACGTCAAGCAGGAGGACCCGGTCCACACTCCTCCAATTAGCAGCTTCGCGTCCCGTCTCTTTACTCCGACGTCTAACAGGCGATCCGAGTCCTTCACCCCTGTGCCCAGCACTCGCTCGGTCCGGCAAAGTCTCCCGCCGGCACCCATGTACCAGTCGACCTCAACGTCCACCGCGAACACCGGAGGAACGAGCTTTGGCGGAAACTTGGGTGTATTCAACCACGCGAACTCGCCACTCAAGAAGACGTCGAGTCTTAATGAGATGAACCAGGGCTTCATGTCGCCCCGGAACTCGAGAGAAATGGCTGCTCGGGAACAACGTCGAGGAAGCCCACTGAAGCAGTCGGAGATTAGAAGATCGACTGGCTCAGATGCTCTCGACCATACGAGTGCTCCCGATTACAACCCCTTTGCCAGCGCGAAGAGGAACAGAAGCAATCAACAAGGGGAACGGTACCCTTCTAGATGGTCGGGTTTCCACTGAGAGGGCTTGACGTACGTGGCATGAGAGATGGGTGACATTGCTCTGGGAAGACTTTTTGCTTGATGGCTTCAAACTTATTTACAGCAGCATATGGCGGCGTTGGGCTGGTTCGGGCGGATGGTCGATTCCTGGGCCGGCGTTCTTCTTTGTTAATCAACTATTCAAGTCTCAAGACTGAATTTGTATTCTCTTCAATCAATCTTTTTTTGGTGAAGGTGCATTGTTCCCGGCACAGTTCTCGCGAAGTCCCTGCAACTTGGCGAATTGGTGACCTTGTACCTTGCGATCCTTGGATATGTCTTCAGGATATAGAAGTGACTGTATCTGCCTCCTGATGGTGACTGAGCTTATTTTGTTATTACTGACGTTGGCTACCCAGCCAACTTAAGTCTGTCAATTCCTTCGTCCTGAAGACTAGTCTCAGTGTTGCTAAATCTAGCCTCCTCGGAGATTGACGACCCTTTGGCTTGCCAGACTTAGATTTCCTCTGAGAACTTTCACGAAGACGCGTCTCATTGCCGAGGGAACAAGCTTTTCCCGGTTGTCTGACCTCTGCGATAGCGGGAGATAAAGATATGCCTCCTCGTTCCGTTTCGTTTGACACTTCTTATCCATGGAAAAAACTCGCCGCGCTGTCGAATATGGTCATTTCAGCTTCGATCTATTCGCATGGGTCCTGGGAAGTCAGATGCCCTTGATAAGCCTCCGCACACATGAAAACAAAGAAAAAGCAGAATAAACAGTTGAAGAGCAGATAATGCGAATTCCATAAACTATGCTGATTCTTTCCTCCCAGTAGAATACCGAGCAAGGTTGTCAACATCGACACTTGATGCCTTTCCTCAGATGACGTTTTGCCAATCTCTAGTTCCTGTCTTCACCAAGCCCTTTGGCTATCACTTCGTTGCTGTATGGATTCCTCACTACGTCTTGCTCCATGTTGCCGAATCGTACTTCAGAAACTGCAGGGCAGTGACATCTAGACCTCGGAAGCATGAACTTTCCATGTCCCAAGCTTCCCCACAAGCCTCCATATCGATCGCCTCGCCTGCGGTGGGGAGACGGAAGAAAAGGGGAAAGGGTCATAGGCGTTGGGGGGACGTTGCGGACGGAGGTCAGTCTGATGAGGCAGGAAGGTACCCTGGATGCTCGACGAGAGACCAAAGAGAAGGCAGGTACATTGGAGGCGCTGCACCTGCTCTCCTTGAAAACTGCTCTGCCAAGAAATACCGTAGCGCATTCAAGAGTTTACACCTCATGTGATTGATAAAGTACGTTCGGTTCCTTAGAAGGAACTGTCTAGTGATGCCAATTGGAACGAGCCATCTATCATTCATTGCTACCCGAGCCTCATTAACATGCCTGTGCTACGAGAATGTGGTTTCCAACCGGAATGTACTTCCTGCTTCGTACTGAACAAACGTCTGGGTCAAATATTGGACTCTCTTGAAAGTCTTCAATTCACGATTCCACCAGCGATGAGCTCTTCGTAACGTTCCGTCCATGTCGTTGAAACACTCCTCGATGATCTTTTCGAGCTCTTGTATGTACTCCGCCATGCATCTCGACAGGTGCGACGGGTCCAAGGTTTCGGTTCCGTCAAGATCTCTTACATCGATGTTGTATATCTGTGTATCTGCCGCATTTATCCGGCGCAGCTTGCAGCGTGTCTTTGGTGCATTGAAGTAGGAGCCAAAGCCAGAGCCATTTGAGATGTCCCCGACAACCACTGACAGAGTCTCCAGTTTCGGAAAGTAGAATGTGAGTACCCAGGCTACCAGATCCAAGAATTCTTTCTCGCCTGGGATAGCCAGATGCCTTGTCTCTTGAATGACGTGTTCGAAATCGTCTTCACTGGCAATGTCTTCCAAAGATGCCGGACCTTGGTTCTGGCAGAACAGGGTATCCAACTCCGGCTGATAAGATCGAAACGGCACAGGAAAATCAATCGTGTCAATGGCCGAGCGCGGACGCATAAGATGTATTCCACTCAGTCTAGAGTTCTGGACGAATTGGCGAGACTCGCGGCAAACATGCATCAGCACCGGAAAGGCAGTGTACACCAGCAACGACTGTGGTGTGTCGCATGTCGACGGAACGATGCAAACTTCTGACTCGACTTCAGGAAGTGACAGCTTCCAGATCTCAGCTCGAATTTCTGGAGGCAATTCGCCAAAGAGGTGGAAATCCATTGCGCCGGCGTGGGTGACGGTTGCTCTGGTTGACGTCTAACAATAGAAGGAGGAGGGCGAAGCACAAAGGGAAAAGAGATGGGAAAGAGAGAAATTCAATTGAGTTGGATTATATGCTGGGAAGGAGTGTCGCCAACTTACAAGCAACTGCCTTGTTCCTTGAGTCAGGGGTTGACAGCAGCAGCAGTTCGTCGAGTCGTTGCGTCTCTTTGACATTGACTGCTCAAACCTGTCGTCCCTTCCTGCGCAAGGATCTCCCTTTCCAAACGCAACCCATCATTTCCGATCTCTTACATCGCCGCCGGACACACACCTGGCAACGGGTTCATGAGTTCTTTTGCCGGCATCGTTGTTTGTTTACTCTCTATCTGTCGTACCATGCAGCATTTCTATCCCCGCATCTCCTCGAATTGAATTATGTCAACCCACTCAGCTTCAGCCACCGGTCGACCGCCCGATGCACCATCGTTTCGAGTCTTATCTCGACGTCCTGGACAGCAAGTCTCCGAAGGGTTTGGCCGGAAGTTAAATCTAAGCGCGCGTTTGAGGGCCGTCCTCCCAAGCCGCCGGGCTGAGAAGGGTAGCACCCATCGGAATCAAGGGTACTAGGAAACCGCCGAAAACCCTCGTTCGAGATCTAGACACTCTCCGACAAGTCCACCACGAATAGGTCGAAGCTCTGACCGCATCACACGCTGGAACACGGCCAAGGAACTGGGCCGTTCTCGGAAAGCCCGATCTTCTGAACCTGAGCCTCTTCTCCGAAGAGCTAACACGATCGCTCATACACCGGCAACTAGATCTTCAAGAGAAGAACGAACACTGGAAGAACGTCGATTGATCCACCGGGAGCGCAGAACTCTGAAAGAGAGTGGAGATTACCTTGGCGTCACAGGAATCAACCCAGTCACAGGAGAACTAGACGTTGAGACACCGTCTACAACCAGCTTCAGCTCTGCTTCCTTGACTATCGACCAAAAGCTGGAAGCTAGACACAAGTCGGAGTCTCGACGTACGCGCCGCGGGGCCGAACTCCTCACAGAAGAGGTGACCAAAAAGCTCCAGCAACGAGAAGAGCAAAGATTTGCCCGGAAAGATCGGGAAAAGGAGGCCATACGACAAGCACAGCGCAACGTTCAGTGGCAACGCCATAGACAGCAGTGGTCTTCTGCCAAAGAGCCTGTACTTAGCCCGATTGCGCAGTCAAACAAGAGCGTATCGACTCGCGGTAAGCTAGCTTGTGTCGACATTGGGTTCATGTACTGACCAATGAGTCAGGTTCTGAAGCGAAAGACGCTCGATACCTGCCTGAGCAACCAAACGCTCATCGTTTGGGGATGGGCCATACTGATCCCAAATCTCATCTGCCCAAACATATCATCTCGGAAGAAAACGATGCTGATTCATCTGACACTGTGATACGAACCCCTCAAAGCAGACGATCATCCATGGCATCCACCGCGGCTCAGGAACTCGGAACAAGCGGCCGAAACTTAGGCGGAGATCGACGACCTACGCAGTTGCCGCTCCCGTTTGGAAACTTGAACTCTCCGCAAAGCATCAGTGAGGAAAGCCGGCCTGGTCACTTCGCCCTCCCAGCACCAGTCACCAAAGGTCAAAGCCAGAAGGGCAAAGCCATGGAAAAGGAGCTACCACCTATACCTCAAGGACCTCAAAAAACGGTGTCTTTTTTAGGCCAGCGACGCCCAGAGACAGAGCCGGGAGGCCGGCAAGCTCTCCGGGCCGTTTCCAACCCAATGGTTCTACGGAAAGTAGACGATCAGGATCCGCTGGGATACCACAGCAGGGAATTCTCAAGAAACCTGTCTCTAACCTCAGGCAAAATCCCCATCCGCCATTCGAGGACAGTATCAGCAAGCGCAAACCTGACGCCTATAAACCTTCCGAGAGATCATATCCTGGGGGAAACATACCCACACCCAGCCCTGGACTACCAGCAGCAGACAACATTCAACCGCTGGGAGGTAAGACAACTTATCCCACTGATCCGAGATATGGAAGCCCTGGACGGCGAGGTGGAATTGGCAGTAGCGCCACTAGTAGTGGCTTACCGTTCATTGATGCAAACTCACGAACTCAACGACCAGCAGGCAGCCAAGACTCGTGGCCCACCAATCACAGCGAACATATCCCCATTCGAGTCATTATTGACATCCCAGATCGACCAGAAAAGCCCGCCGCTTCAAGAGAACTCGTTGGCCCGAGAGTATATCCAGGCGCTGGGGGACAACCTTTGCAAGGTGACCCAAGAGCCGCCAATCCCGAAAAGTCTCACCTTCGAGGACCGAGCAACATCTCCAGGAAGAATGGAGGTTCACGAGGGCTTGATATGCCAGCGGGCAGTAGGAAAGATGGAGGCTTTAAAGACAAAAGCTGCCACCACACCCATCACCACCATTATTGGCTGCGGCCAAGGTCTTTCACAATCGAGCCTATGCCAAGAACAACCCGAGAGAAGAGTCAGCGAAAGCTGGAGCATGTTGCAGAATCGACGCGTGAGTCGACAGTGCGACGAACAGATGTCAACGTCAACAGAGGACATCTCGACCGAAAAAGTGCGGCATCTAAAGACCGTCAAAATAAGGACCCAGGCTTTGGCACCAAAAGGAAGCCAAACGCCGACCCTCCAGCATCGAAACGATGCGATCCACAAGGTGGTCGAGAAATACTCTGCGAGAAATTTGGCAGACAGCGACAAGCAGGAGAGCCAAGCCGAGAACCTTGTCACACCACACATGTTCACGTCTACATCACCCCTAACCGTGTTGGAGCCAGCCACTCAGCAGGGCCAAAGCAAGATCGCATCGACGGGGGCGGCGCGGGCCGCATTGGCCAATTCGGGCAACAAGACGGCGGAAACTCGGAAACAGAACCTCTCGGCCAGCGGAACGCCCAGATCGCTGCCTACCAGCCTCAGGAAGCCTCCTCCCGACTCTGTTCCGAGTAGGAGATTGCGGAACAAGTTCAAGATCATGAGGTTCTCGAACACGAGCCCGTCAAAGTCAACAAACACCGTAGCAGACGGTATAGAGGCGATGAGCAGCCGCAAGAGTTCACAGACGTTTTGTGCCATGAAAGGGAGAAACGACAATCTGCAGGATACACCAACGGCGAACCAGCAGTTGTCAGCAGCCAGTCAAGCCAGGTTGAAAGCTGGCTGCAGCACGTCAACGACCCTGGTGAACAGCAACTCCGAAGGCGGCGACACCGGAGGTCGTTTGAGAAGAGGCGTGTTGAGTAAGCGTGTGCTAAAGTGCGCCACCGACGGCAAGCAGATTGCGGGGAGCGCGGCTCGATGGTATTGGAAAGCCATATCACCTTGCTTTGATCCGACATCGCCAGCCAGAAAGCGACTTGATGTCAACAAGTCAACTTGGACGGACGTTGGGAGGTTTCTCGTTGCGCTGAGCAGCGGCTTCGCGTTATTGGCGACAGCGGTCCGGATCGCGCAGGGGATTGCGTGGGTGATGCAGATGGTGCAAGGCTTGCTGGGGGGTTTGATTGCGATTCTCGGTTCCTGACAGCCGGTGGTGACGAAAAAGGGAGGTTGTGGAGGAAAGCTTGGCGTTGGAGCCCGACCAACCGCCGATCGGCGCTGTAGGGACCAGGTCGGCTGGGTGAAGCGCGACGAAAGCCATACTCCGTATATCGGCTGGGTTGGGGGAAAGGAATGTTTGATAAGACGGAGGCCGAAAGCGCAGCGTCAAATGCACATGATACGAGTCGAACGGGCGCTGTTTGAGCTTGTGTGGGGTAGTGGCAGGCCAAGCATGCAGCACGAAGGAGATCAACCCTTTCGAGACTTGATTACCTTGCTTCTCGAGTGCTCGGACAAGGTTGACAATGGCAGCACGAATGCAATGGCAGATGGCCCGGGTTGTGGATGGAGTTGACGCAGTATTGATATGCCGGTATGGCTACGGATACAGACATTAATCAAACAGAGTTGCACCACAGAGGGAGCAGCCCGGGTATGCTTTTGCAATGCATGATGAAGTCGGCACCTCGGGCTCGGGTACGCTTACGGGCAGTTGTTATTGGGGAGGGTAGATGTTCTCCGGATTAGCCTGGGAGCGCTTGTTGGGATGACCGCAGGAGGGCCGGCCGATGCGGTGAAGCTGCCTCATGATGGACATTGCGTTTGCGACAGCAGCAGCGACGGCGATCGAGGCCCTATCATGTTATCGCGTAGTTCTGCAGCGTCATCATCGAGTAAGCCTCGGCGGGCGGATGTTGCATCCAGCTCCAGGATGGGATTCAGGGATGATGGATTCACGAATCACTGCCACTTCTGCTTGAGTTGAATGGACGGGCGATACTCCGTGATTCCGTAATACGGTACGTACTCCTGTTCTCGGAGGTCTTGGGAGCTAAGGTGGTAAGTGCCACTATTCGTACTGCGTACGTGAGAAGACTGGATAGGTTGGAGTCATTCTTAGTGCACAAAAAAAAGTGCCGGGGACTGGAATAAGATTGGAACCGTTGAGAGGCAAAGCGAAGTGAAATGCTGCAATGCAGCTTCGGCATCGCGTCAATTACGTACATGAGGGGGTTATGAACGATGCCGGCGCCAGCATTCGGTGTTCTGCTACGGGTCTCGCTGGCGCATGTACTTGGATTGAATCTGGCATGTATATCCGTACTAATTACACACAAACAGTTTTAGGGTCACTGGTGACCGAGCAGGCATCATAGTGAGGGCGAAAGAGAAGACCTAAGAAAAAGTCAGCAACGGCAAACGACGGAACAAAACGGAGACGGTACTGGGCCCCCCAAGTAGCAGAGGGTACTTGTTGGACACATGAGAATTCAACGAGTTGCTGTTTTGGGCGGCGCTGAGCCCATTGGAGCCCATATTACTCGTCAGATTGCGGGCTCTTTGCGTCTCACGTGCGGGACGTGTAGTCAAGCGGTGGAGTATCAAGTGCCGTCGTATTCCATTATACTAAGGTAACGGTATCCTCCCCGAAAGTGGGAGAGATTTTTCCCAAACATCAACAGAGTCATACTTTGATATGATCCACGGTGAATATGGGGGGCCCCCCTTTTTGAATGTTTCCAGTTTTTCCCGTCTCGCCAAACACCCAACACTCGAAGAGTTCTCGTCCGAGATGATTGAGGTAGTACGCATAGGTAAGGTGCCAAGGTAAGGTAGTGTGGCGTGTGTTGAGGTCTCGTCCATGGAATGGCCCGAGTTCAATGTTCATGGCAGCATTTGGAAGGTTCTCAGGGCGTTCAAAGTGGGATGCGGGACCCCCGGGCCAGGGCACCTTGCGGCAACGGGCCAATCCGCGGGCGTCATTTGCAAATCAGGGCGCTGTACCCCGCGTTCACAGGTCTTCCGTCGCCGGGACCCACTGCTGGCTGGAGCTGGCGCCTCCGATCATCGGACACTTGGGAACTTTTTCGTCCCAAAGCCTCACCCACGTAGTAGTCACAGTTGATTGTTTCGTTTTCTAGGTACCGGTAGCTTTGTAGCCAGATTGGTGTATTTGGTGTGTTGTGCGTAGTGGGAAAGGAGGGTTCGAGGTACCTGCGGTTTGCGGGCACTTTTGCAAGAGGGGCGGGCGGGCGTAAGTGTACCTACGTGCTTTCTCTTCCTTGTCGCCCTTGCAAGTTGGCACCTCTTTCTCGCTCCGATTTCGTACCTTGTTCTTTTTTCGCTCTCTCTCTCAGTCACTAGGTCTCTTGTTACGGAGCAATTTGATTCAAGTGTTCCCAACTCTAAGCAGAGGCAAGCACTGACCTCAGACACAACAGAGGGACGAAGGCCTCCTGGTCCGGCAGATACATATTGAGCTGCTCTTCCCCCACACCCCTGACCACATCTCTCCTCCGACTCAGGATTTTTTTCTACGTTTTCTACTTTTTTTTCCCTCTCTTCCCTTTCCAAACGCTTCTCTTCCCAACGAACCATCTTCTCATCTCTCTCACCAAACCCTCTCCCTCTCCGTCATCCACTACCTAGACTCCCAATCGCCATACAAACAGAGTCACACACACGCACGCACACTCGCAGACACTCGCATCCATCGGCTGCTCTCACACCAGCTTGATTTGACAAGAAAGCTTGGGAACCACCACCCTCGCAACACCCAACCAGGTCCCTTCAATTGAGGCCGACCTGACCTGCTTTTGAAATTGCATCGCTTTATCTCCCCGTCTCTACGAGTTGCACAAAATGCCCGTTGCCGAAGGCACCCCGCAAACTCTCTACGACAAGGTCCTCCAGGCCCACGTCGTAGACGAGAAGTTGGACGGCACGATCCTGCTGTACATTGGTAAGTTCTGCGTCATGCTCTTCCCCCCATTGCGAACGATCTGGATCTTGGATCTGCGCGGAGAAAAGGAAAGGAATTCATTTGCTAACAATGAGACGCAATGCAGACAGACATCTCGTGCATGAGGTCACCTCTCCTGTACGTTCGACGCTTGCTCCTGTTTTTGGCTTTTTTTTTCTCCTGCTTCCCCTCGTAACCCCTTCGCTATCCGCAGCCGCCGCCTTCGCACTCCGGCTCGGATGACGTCGGTTGATCGACCCCACCATGACATCTCGCTAACAAAGGGCTGCAGCAAGCATTTGAGGGTCTGAAGAATGCAGGCCGCAAGGTCCGCCGACCGGACTGCACCCTCGCGACCACCGATCACGTAAGTTTCTTGTTCCACACAATCTCTCACACGCGCCCACATGCGAGAAGCATCGCTTTCGCCCGCCCAATCTCAATTCCGTAGTGGTGGTCCAATCGCTAACATGTGGCTGCCCAGAATGTCCCCACTTCGTCACGGAAAGGCATGAAGGACATTGGCTCCTTCATTGCCGAAGATGACTCCAGAGTCCAGTGCATGACCCTCGAGGAGAATGTCAAGGACTTTGGCCTCACATACTTTGGTCTCGGCGACAAGCGCCAGGGCATCGTCCACGTTATCGGCCCCGAGCAGGGCTTCACCCTCCCCGGCACCACCGTCGTCTGCGGTGACAGTCACACCTCGACCCACGGCGCCTTCGGTGCCCTGGCTTTCGGTATCGGTACCAGTGAGGTCGAGCACGTCCTCGCCACCCAGTGCTTGATCACCAAGAGGAGCAAGAACATGCGGATACAGGTCGACGGAGAGCTTGCCCCCGGCGTCAGCTCAAAGGATGTTGTCTTGCACGCCATTGGCAAGATCGGAACGGCTGGCGGTACCGGTGCCGTTATCGAGTTCTGCGGTTCAGTCATCCGTAGCCTCAGCATGGAGGCCCGCATGTCCATCTGCAACATGTCCATCGAGGGTGGTGCGAGAGCCGGCATGGTCGCTCCCGACGACATCACCTTCGAGTACCTGAAGAACCGCCCCCTGGCCCCCAAGTACAACTCGGACGAGTGGCACAAGGCCGTCAAGTACTGGAAGTCTCTCCAGTCCGACGCCGACGCAAAGTACGACATTGATGTCTTCATTGACGGCAAGGACATCATCCCCACCATCACCTGGGGCACCAGTCCCGAGGACGTCATCCCCATCACCGGCGTCGTCCCCGACCCCGAGACCTTCTCCACTGAGAACAAGAAGGCCGCCGGCCGCAGAATGCTCGAGTACATGGGCCTGACCCCCGGAACCCCCATGGAGGATATCCCCGTCGACAAGGTCTTCATCGGTTCCTGCACAAATTCCCGTATCGAGGACTTGCGCGCCGCGGCCCACATCGTCAAGGGCAAGAAGATTGCGGCGAACATCAAGCGCGCCATGGTCGTCCCCGGCTCTGGTCTCGTCAAGACTCAGGCCGAGGCCGAGGGCTTGGACAAGATTTTCGAGGCCGCCGGCTTCGAGTGGCGTGAGGCCGGTTGCAGTATGTGCTTGGGCATGAACCCCGATATCCTGGCCGCCAAGGAGAGATGCGCGTCCACCAGCAACAGAAACTTTGAGGGTCGCCAGGGTGCCGGCTCCCGCACCCATCTCATGTCCCCCGTGATGGCTGCTGCTGCCGGTATCGTCGGCAAGCTGGCTGACGTCAGAAAGCTCGAGGGTTACCAGACGAGCCCTAAGCTCCAGGCCACCATTACCCCCGACAGCGAACCCCAGGTTGACGAGCGGGTCGAGGAGAGCGACGCTGAGAAGGAGGCCATCGCCGACCAGCCCGAGGACAACGAACCCCACACCAACACTATTTCTGCCGGTAGCTCCGCTGGTCTTCCCAAGTTCACCAACCTCAAGGGTATCGCCGCTCCCCTGGAGATGTCCAACGTCGACACCGACGCCATCATCCCCAAGCAGTTCCTCAAGACCATCAAGCGCACTGGTCTCGGCAACGCCCTCTTCTACGCCCTCCGCTTCAACGAGGACGGTTCCGAGAACCCCAACTTCGTTCTGAACAAGGACCCCTACCGCAGCTCCAAGATCCTCGTCGTCACCGGTCCCAACTTTGGCTGCGGTTCGTCGAGAGAGCACGCCCCCTGGGCCCTCAACGATTTCGGCATCCGCTGCGTCCTCGCGCCCTCGTACGCCGACATCTTCTTCAACAACACCTTCAAGAACGGCATGCTGCCAATCATTATGGAGGACAAGGAGAAGCTGGAGAAGATTGCCGCCGAGGCGCGCGCCGGCCGCGAAGTCGAGATCGACTTGCCCAACCAGCTCATCAAGGACGCCGACGGCAACACCCTCGCCTCTTTCGACGTTGAGGAGTTCCGGAAACATTGCCTCATTAACGGCCTCGATGATATCGGCCTGACCATGCAGCAGAACGACAAGATTGCCGACTACGAGCGCCGCATGTCCCAGCTCACCCCCTGGCTCGACGGCACCAACTACCTCAAGAGGGATCCCAAGACCGGTCGCCTCCTCGCCAAGGCCGTCCCCGTCCCCAAGACGAACCGGGGTGAGACCAAGAAGGAGCCTCTTGAGTGGTAAGGTATTCGGAGACAGAAAGAAAAAAAGAGCAAACAAAAACACAAAAAATTGGATTGGCTTTTTCAAAACTAGGAAACTAGGGAGTTTAAATCATGTAACGTGTCTACGATACGAATCTGGGTTATGGCTTGTTTTTGCAAAGGGACAATCTTATCTTGTCCAGAGATGACATTTCTCATCATGCTGGCGGCGATTTGGGAATTATTCAAAGAATAAGGGAGGGATTTGGTTATTACGTGGCATTTTGTTTTCTCTTCTCGAGATGAAAAAGCTGCGGGAAAAAGTTTTCAAGTTAGATGCGCAGTTCGTCACAATAACGGAGCTTTCGCAACACGTCATTCTTCACTTCTGAACCATTCGTGGGACCCTCTCTACAATTCTGCATAGCCTCAAGAGGATATCGTGATGATGCTGATACGCTGCTTGATATAAAGCTACGCAACGGAGTATTTAGAAATCCACCGTAGCCTCCCTCAAAATCCCAACATGCACCACAAACCCAGCCTCGATCCTCAACCCCTCGGGGAGCAACGCATCCGGTACCCTCCAGGTTCGAAAGTCGCGGTGGAACGCGCCGATCCATTCCTCAAAGACGTCCGGGCTGCGGAGCTGCTGCGCCACGACGCAGACGCACGGCTCGGACCGGGCCGTCGCTGAAGAGGAGGAGGAGGAGGGGTTGTCGTCGTGGTCGTCCTGGTCTTGGTCCTCCTGCTGGGCACGTACACGCAACCGAGCGAGGTCGGCGGTGGCGGAGACGAGCGGCTCGACGAGGGCCTCGTTGTAGATGCAGTCGCAGCAGACGACGACGTCGAAGCTGCTTGCGGTGGAAGGGGGTACGCCGGTGAGGGAGGGGTCTGGGGTGTCGAGTTCCCAGTCTAGGGGGCGGAAGGAGATTGTTCCTTGCGACGACGACGTCGTTGCGGAGGTTGCTGTTGATGAGCTTGCTGCTGCTTTTCGTGAACGGCGCGAGGTTGACGAGGAGGATGATGAGGACGAAGACTTGGGAAGGGGGTTCGCTTCGAGGTTCTGGTGGATCATGCGCGACACGTAGGGCTGGTCTGTGAGGACGTAGCGGGCGACGCGCGGGGCGAGGAGGAGGGCTGTCAGCGGGGAGATGCCGCAGCCTAGTTCGAGGATCGTCGAGGCGGGGGTGAAGAGCTGGGTGAAGGGGGAGGTTGGGGAGGCGAGGTAGGTTGCGAAGAGGGGGGTTATTTTCCAGAGGACTGGTTTTTTGTTTAGTCAGTTGCAGTTCGGGGGGTTGGAAGATTTAGATGAGTCGGGTTGAGCGGTTTGAGAGGTGTTCCGAGGTGAGGGTGGGAGGGTGGAGTTGAGAGTAGGTTGTGGGACTACCTATAATGACAAGGGGGGTTCAAGATTGACATGGAGAATGATGTGAGCGAGGTTGAGAGAAAGTTTTTGACTTTTATGACAAAGGAGAAATTTGATGGATGGAAGGACGGGGTAACGCGAAATAGGGCCGCGAAATGAGGGAGGTCTGTGATGGTTGATTCGGAAGGGGGGGGGAGAAATATAGAAATACTGACCGGCCCCGGTCGTGCCTCCGGCGCGGGTCGATGAGAGGACCGTGGGGGACTGGTGGATCGTGAAGTCTCTGCCCGCCAGCGTCAGGGAGAGTTCGGTGGCTTTCGGGTCGATAAAGCCCAGGTTCGAGGACGGGATGTTGTGGGAGAAGAGGAAGAAGGTCTCTGTTTGGCGCACACGTAGGATCTCCCGTGTAAGTCGGTTGCTGCGGGGTGCCTGTTAGGTAGTAGGACGGATGAACGTACCCTCTTCTGGGTCGAGAATTTCATCCTCTAGGGTTGAGATGAGAGCTTTCACGGCCATTGTTGCCGGCTTCGTCTCTGCGCGAGACGGGCGGTAGCCCGAAAAAGAGTTAGATGAGGGTATAGCTGGAGTGAGTAGATATGTTGGTCGGTCTACACCTTCATCTTGGCGTGTCTGTTTAGAGAACTGATGTGGTTGTACTCCGTAGTCAGGACGGCCGTTGGAGGTTGCGGAGGACGGACGCACGGGCCGAAAGTGGACAGGTAGAGATTTGGGGGCAGTATTTTTTCTTCGGCGGGAAAAAAAAAACATCGGGGCTCAAATCCGACGACATGTCTTCGGGCCGGGGTCCCCAGCTTAATCGGAAACCCGCATCAGACCGTTCAACCCGATCTGCTAAACCTCTTCAAGGATGTATTTTAAAACAGAAACAAGCTTTACAAGGAAGTTTTTAACTGTTTCCCGAGATACGCGTATATATCGGATTCGTCGCATTAAGCTCGGATCTGTTCAATTGTTGTGAGCGTCGCTCTAAAATGGCTCAGAATCAACTTTCACACGATGAAGTTAAAAGATAGTTGGAGAATCATGGTTGTTTGATGAATTCATAATGCTTTCTACCGCTCTCACTCTAACAAGTTGTGGAATAGAGTAACAGAAACAGCAACTCTGCTCTCAGAGATCACAGGTACACGTCAATCCTCCTAATAGGCCAAAGTCTTCTGCAGAGCCTCTAGCAGACTATCGGATCAGCTCGCTTCCCGTCATCCCGAAAAAAAGAGAAACTTCGTTCCAAAAATGCCGTGTTTGTACTTTTTGACAAGAAAAGCTTAGAATCCGTTAGCTACGATGTCACAACTCGGGAAAAGGTAACCAAGCTCTTACAGTACACCGTCTAAGCAACCCATCCCCAAATGTTCTTGATGCTCTTGCAGACATCAATGGGCGCCTCGTTCTGCTCAAACACGAGGTCGCAGACCTGGTTCTTGGCGGGGGTGACCCAGCAGGCGTAGTTGCCGTCGAAATCGATGCAGATGGTGGCGGCGAAGGCGCCGCCGCCGCCGCCCTGGTGGATCTGGCAGTTCTGGTTGAGGGTGGTGACGACCTGGAGGTCGCGGGACTGCCACTTCCAGTTGGCGTTGTCGACGCTCTCGAAGCGGAAGCCCGTGTTGGACTTGCGGGTCTCCGGGTCGAGGGCCTGGGTGCAGTAGTCTGCGGCGACGAAGGAGGCGCCGAGGAGGATGGTGGGGAAGAGGGTGGAGAATTGCATCTGTGGGAGATGGGATGGTCAGCCTTTTGTGATCTGGAGAGGGGGACAGTTGGGGCGAGGGCTTTTATCCTACCTTTGCGGTGTTGAGTTGAAGAAGTTGGGGATGTAAGTGATTGGAATGGGTGTCAGAGACTGTAAATGAAAGTGATGGTGAGATAGTGACTGTGATAGTGAGAGACTGTAAGATGCAGTGCGAGCTGGGTGATGAGGGAGCTTTTGACCGAGTTACGGCGGCAATCTTGTCAATACTTATACTCCTGAAATGAAGGCATCTCGACCATATACATCTTGGCATCACCGCATCAAGTCGTGTAAGTCATTTGCGAATCCGACAATGCCCCCAAAATAACACTCTGTTTTGAGTTGAGTGAGATTACATCTCAAAGTTCTGGACCGAGATCTCCGACCTCGGAGTCGCTTGTCCACTGCCTCAATCAAGAAGAAGAAAGTAAACTACAGTTTTGGATATTTCGTCGTCGTTCACCGAGTCAAGCAAAGGCTTGGGGGAGCCTCGAGAGGCGCAAAAGTCAAATTGATTATAGTATTTGAGTTGAGAAGTATTACTGAACAACCAGTTTGAATAGCGTAAGGTACCCTCGCCCGCAAAATAGATTCCGCATAAGGGATCACCCACCAGACGCAAGCCGCGGAGTCGGGATTTTACCCCACTATTTAATAACGGACGGAAGACGGACTTTTTAGATACTCGGCGGTGATGGAACGTGCTTGGATCCATAGGTAGGGCAGTGAGGGTGCACGATCGGGGGCGAAAAAATGATTAGAAGAGTTGTACGTGTAAGAAAACCCTCCTTAATTCATAGCCTAGTTGCGAGAGAAGATGCCGTGCCAAGATCTCAACACCTAGTACTCATGTGTTCCAATCTAATAGACTTAAGGCGCCTGCTCTAATTTACAGCCCAGCACCCGACGAAAAATCATAGTCACCATGTCTCTAGCCTCCTGCTCGCCGACCTGTACAGGACCGTCACCCTGATCCCACATAATCTCCGTAATTTCCGCCCCGACGTCAGCCCCCTCTCCCGCCGCGTCCGCGGGTCCGGGCCCATCCGAAACTGCTCGGGTCGATGCCCTGATCTGAAACTGCTCGTGGCCGGTCCAACTCCGGTACACATGGACCACCATCGTGCCCTGCGCATCTGGCCCGTCCGAACGACTCATCCAGCGATCGTCCATCGACGTCGGCTGGTAGCCGAGGAGGAGCTTGGCGGCGTCTGTTCCTGAGATACATAGGTGCCAGGCCGCCGTGGCGGGATTGCCGATGGGATGCAGGTCGCCCCAGTTGGAGCCGGTGACGCGTTTGGATGTTGACTCGCTGGGCGGCGGAGGGGAGGAAATGGAAGTTGAAGCGTTGCCCATGATGAAGAGGTAGAGTTGAGAGAGAAAGATAGGATACGCCGGGTACGTTCTGGATGGATTGGTGGATTGAAGGAGGTTGGGATCGTACAATGGAGTTACTTGATTTTGTATCGATGTGATATGTAAGTTTGGAGATATTTGGAATGGGATATTATAAAGATGAACGCGTATTGGACCCAGTCTTTGTCTGCTGTTCGGCACGATGCATACGAGGTCTTGGTAAGTTGGCGATCCCAGCATCAGCCTCAGGAGGTTTCTGAGATTTTTTTATTTGGGCATTTAAGACTCCATCTGGGATGGACATGCGCAGCCTTAAACCCTATTTTGTCTTTGTACGGGTCATTCGGGCTTCATCGGAGACCTGGACAATATCAGATGAATTATCGGGGTCTTGGCAGTGTACCACGAACAGTATGTGATCGCCACATTGTCAAGGTTGGCTTGTCATGACACTCGGAGGTCATTGTTCTAGAAGGGAGTTGTTCCTTTGTTCTTCCAGCAGTACCCGAAGCTGTCTCCTTCCTCGACTTGGGTCTTGCCATTATAGATTATATTGTTCATTCTCCAACTTTATCGGGATGGACAAGTGCGGTTTTACAAATCACTCCGATTCCGTCTCATAACCGACTCCGGCTCCGTCGGTTTCGGATTCCATCGCCCGCAGCAGAGCACAAGCTGACAACCATTTAGAATAGTCTTGGCAAAGATGTAAAGAGTATTGTAAGAATACGAATACCCGTAAAGCCTCTGAACTCTTTGTATACAACCAATCTATTTGTTTTTTCATGCGTCTGGATTCATACTAGACTGGTCTCGACATGACTCTCCAAAGTTGAAGCCATCGTGTAAGTGTCAGCTGTTTCACGCGAAACAGCACTTCATTGAACGCCTTGCGGAAATACCGGATTCCGCGACCTGTATCTACTAGATTTCTTTTCAAGCGGGGTTGACTTGTAAGATCAAGACTCAAGATATAAACCAGTCAAAATCCGTAGTCATGTCCAAATCGGAATCAGTACAGATCCAGTCCTCTGACCTCACACTCTCTTACAATACAATCGTTTGAACAACAATTTCACATTCTTTTGAACCCTCTCCCCTTATCATTAAACAATGGCTAGACAACAACCTCTTATGCTTGGGCTGACGCTCATTGCTTTCTGGGCCTTCCTCTGCAACGGTCTCGACCTCTACCGCGCAGATTCGAGAAACTATGCCACCATCCAGGCCTCCAAGGGCTTCTTGCCAAAGGGTCAGTCCACCTTTGGCGTCGCCGCCCCAGACACCAGCCTGTGGAACCACGTCAAAGGAGCCCCCAGCGGCGCCAGCAAGGACGAGGACGGCTACGTGTCCACGACCTCGGACCCCAAGCTAGCCGAGTCCTGGGTCAGCCGATTCCTGGGCGGCAACGGCTTCATCTACCGCATCCACTCGGCTCCCAACATGATTGACTGCCAGGCCACCCTCCAAAAGTACAACCCGTACCCCGAAGAGGCCGAGTTCGCCGCCCTCGGAGGCATCAAGGACAACCAGATCATCGGCTGGACCCCCGTCCGCGGCGGCGTCAAAGGCAAGGAGGAGCTGAACCCCTTTTACCAGGGCAACATCTACAGCAACATGGGCACCGGCGGCGCGCAGTACAAGCTCGCCGCATTCCCGCCCAACCACCAGGCCTGGGGGGAGGCCCCTTGGTCGCAGTTCGCCTCGTGCACGCGCAGACGTTCCGCCAGGGACCTCTTCCAGATCGAGAAGCGCGCTTGCTCCGCGTCCAAGAGCAACGTCGACTACGCTAAGGAGTACCTCGAGTACGTCGAGGCCGTCTGCCCTGGCTGCCAGTAGTGTCATCAGTCACTACGATAGATTCTCTCGGCTGGCTCAAAGCACGAAATCGACTTGGAATTGGAAATGGACATATCCATCGTCTGCTTCTGGCCAATACTTTCTGGACTTTCTGGACAACAAGACTTCCTTGATTCTTAGATATTGATTTGCTATCTGTATATCCCTTAGACAGCTTGTCACGCAAAGAATGTTGTTAGACTAAATAGGCGACATGTCTTGAGAATTCAACATACAGAGAATACACTTGCATCTTTTGCATTCTTATCCCCAAGTCGGTACGAACATTTTTCCATCCAGGAACTGTCTTCGGGCAGCATATGCCCTGAACAGTGTGAGTCCAAAACAATCGTAGTTTTGTAGTCGTCTGGCAACAGCAAGAGCAAGTAAGACTAGTGCAACATATGACTTGGTTGTAGTTTCTTAGCACATGCTCCTGTTCATTCCGTGCTTTCATATGTAAAATTCGTGAACTTGAAGTGTTGCACGAGAATTGGAATTGAGTTGACAGAACTAAAACATTAATCATGAGGTCAAGTAATTCAAAGCGCCGAATACTTAGAATTAAGAGTATAGCCTGATGGCTTAGTGGACAAAGCTCTCAGTAAGTCACAATGCTGGCAAGCTTTCATCGTCACTTAGGATTCCACTTTCCAAGAAAAATCATGACTCTGTCTGCATGGTGGTACTGCGATCCGGTCTGTGTTTTTAATGCCAGACTGCGATCAAGAGTACCTAGTCGACTATCATCGCCTTTTCTTTCTTCCTCATAGTTGGTGCTTCGACTCGAAGTTCTCTTGTATGTGGTTCCCAACGGTTATGCGGCTAAGAAGCTCCACTCAAGGGATCTACAATGCATTAGCAAAATGCGCAAGCAAAAGCTTCAAAAAGAAACTTGAGAACAGTCAACTCCCTATTACGTACCAAATTGACAGCTCAGTCTGTTCGCTAAAAAAAAAAGAACTATACCCAAATCATCAAGCGATACGTTAGTGAAATTGCCCATCGAGTAGTTGCCGAAGCCTTTGCCGGGGGGCCATGACTCACTTGCGAATAGAAGCGAAGAGCTGTGGGGCTCTACAATGTCTCAACCTATCGGATTAGAAGTCTAATTTAACCGCGGCATATAGCAGACTACGCAGGGGCTAATTAGGGGCCCTATTTATAATTATCATAGCTAGCCTAACTTATAGTTAGAACCTCCTTTTTATACTTACTACGTAAATATTTATATAGTTTAATTAATCTCTTTATTAACTACGGTTCGAACTAACTACTTTATAATAAAAATATTAATACTAATTAATAATTAAATTCTATTATTATAGATTAGTAAAGTATTTTATTATATAAAAAAGACGATTTTTTAATATTATATAAAATAAGAAATTTATATTAATTAACTTTATAAAAGTAAATAAAAAAAAAAGCGATTTTTAAATACTATATAGAATTAAGTAATTATAACCCTTTACTATTTATAAAAAGTAGACGTTTATTATATTAAACTACGTTAATTAATAAAACTACTTAAATAACTAAACTTTCGCTATTACTTTAAGTAGCTTTTTTATTAAATAACTTTTCTATAACCGGCCCGTAATTAAAAAATAATTAGTTAAATTAGTAAAAAGAAATACTTATATAATAACTACTTATTTAATTAATTAGCGTAATAAGTAAGCTTAATAATATAATATAAAAAAGTACTACGTAATTAAAAAAAAGGATTTTTAAATATAAATATTCTTAATTAGTATAATAAAAAGTATATAAAAATTATTAAACTAAGAGATTTATAATATATAGAAAAGTTTATTATTATAAGGATTTTATAAGTACGACTTTAAGTTTACGATTTAAATAATTTTTTTATAACTCCTTTAACTACTCCCTAAATATTATTTAAAAATATAATATAAAGGACGGTTTAATAAAAGAGGAGGGGATTTAGAGGTCTTAATAATATTAAGTTAAAAATATTATAAATTTTAAAAATTAATTTAAAAAAAAAGCGGCTATTTTAAAATAGTCCTACGACCTCTTAATAAAGTTATTATTAACTTAAGAAAAGGCTAAAAAAACGAGGATTTAAAAAAAAAAAAATCCTCTAGAGGGTTACTAAAGGGCTTTTTTTTATACTAACTCTTAGTACGAGATTATTAATTTTAAAAAATTAACTAAATAATAAAAGGGATCGTTAATAAGTAATAATTACTTAATTATAATTAAGTTATAAAAAAAACTACTTAAAAAATATAAAATAGAGTACTAAGAGGCTATAAAAAACGAGATTTTTAAAATATCTAACCCTATTACGTACGAGCGATAAATAAGTATTCTTAATAAGTCTTTAAAATTTACGATTTTATAAAAAAGAGGGCTTAACTTTATTAACCGTACTTAATAATTTATACGGTTTTTAATAGCCTATATAACTCTTTTATAAATTACTTAGTGTTTATTTTTAACTATTCTTATAAAATATTATTTTAAAAAAAATAGGTTAAAAAAAGAGGCTATTTAGAGATTATAGAGAGTACGAGGCTTAAGAAGCTAGGAATATATAAAATAATAAAAATTAATAATTAGTAAAAATCCTAAGATTAATTACTATATCGTCCTATAATAATATAAACGTCTATTACTATTATTAAAAAAAAAAACTACTAAAACTTACTTTTTTATATTAAATAAAAAAGAGGATCTTAATAAGTATAATAACTAGCGATCTAAAAAGGTAATAGTAATTACTAAAAATAATAAAAACGAGAGTAATAGTAAAATAATAAAAAAAAGTAAGAATCTTTTAAACTTTAATAAATTCGTTAAATAGTAAAAGTATAGATTTATTATAGCTAGTATATAAATTAAATATATTCTTATTAAAATTAAATATATTAATAATTATTAATACGAGTATAAACTAGAGCATAACCCTTAGTAAGTTAAAAAAAAAAAAAAGATAAAACCTAATTTTAAATAGAATCCTAATCCCTTATAAATAGGTAAATATTAACTTAGATTATTAAAGGACGTAAATATATAGAATCGTAAATTAATTTAATAGTAAGTAAATTAACGTAGTATTAATCTATTTAATAGAGGTTTATAAAAAAAAGGGGCTATAAAAGTAACCTTTATTTTATAAAATTATAAACGACCTTAATTATTAGCTAAATAAATAGTTTATAAGTATAAGCTTAAGAATTATAAAAGTAATTAATAAATTTTTTTATAAACAAGGGGTATTACTAACGTAGTTATAATTATAAGAACTATATAAAATCTTAGTAATAATAATTATAAAAGAGGAATTCGTATTATAGAACTAAGTATAAATCGATAGAACGTATAATCGTTTTAATAAATTTAAAAAAAGGATAAATAACGTAGATTTCTTTTTTATAATTACTAATAATAATTTATTATTATAAAAGGATATATAAAAGTAAAATATAATATTAGAAGTACGATAATTAACGATTCTACTTATTTCGATCTATAGCTCGTTACTATTATTAATACGAAATTCGGTACTAATTGGCTAATAAAAAAAAATAACTTAAAGTTATTAATAGTACGTAGCTACGTAAAAATCGTATATAAATACTAAAAATATAGTAATAAATACGAGGTAATTTACTAATTTTAAAAAGATCTTTTTAAAAAAGAAATTATATTTTAGAGAGAAGTATAAGGTTTTATAAAAAACCCTAATAATATTTTACGATTATTATAAAAAAGTCGGGATTAGGGAATATTAGTATTATTTAGTAATTAATATTATACTCGTAAAAAAGCCTCTAATTATTATTATAAAGCGGTACGTAATTTCGATTAAAACGACTTTTTTAATATTATTAATATAATCTAAAGCCGCTTCGAGACTTATAATAAGAACTTAGAGCTCTTATTTAAACTATAAGTAATTTTTTTTATATTTATAACTAGGATAATAAAAAGTAAATTATAAATAAAGATTTTTAAAAAGCTTATTAATTAAATCGATAAGCTAATAAAAACCTAGCTAAATAAGGGAACTAACGAGTAAAAAGTTAAATATCTCTATACTGCAGTTTAGTATATACTAAAAATAAAAATAACCCTATACTAAGTACTTAAAAACTACGAGACGCTCTATTTAAAGTTAAGATCTAGCTTTAATATTAAAATAAGAATACTATACTAAACCTATTTTTAAGTATATAATAGCCCTTATTAATAATATTAAATTAATTAAATATATAATAAAAAAAAAAAGAGGTAAGATATAGTAATTGTTAATAAGGAGGCCTAAACTCGTTAAATAGGCTAAGATTTAACTTATAAGTAAAGTAATAAAAAAAATAATATTATATTTATAAAAAAGATAAATATTAATTAAGTAATTACTCTAAGGAAGAGCGTATTAAATTATATAAATAATATAAAAAGTTAAGAATAGTAAATAGTAAAACTAGCCTTCGTTAGTTTAATTAATTCCTTATTATATATAAGGGTAGATTTAGAGGTATAGAACTTAATAATAGTAACTAAAATAGCGGCCTAAAGTATCCGCCCTTTATAAAAAATTCGGAAAATAAAAAAAATTTTACCCCCTATATTAATAAATTAGATTATAATAAAATCGATAATATTAACTACTCTTTTTTTGCCTTATTAATTTTTAGAAAATATACGAGGCTAAATAAATAAAAAGTAGTAAAAGCTCTTAATAAGTAAGCTTTTATTTATAAATAATAAGGGAAGGTCCCTTAGATAATAAATATAGAAGTAACTAAAAAAGTAAATTTAATAGGGCTAAAGTCTATTCTTTTAATACTTAAAAACAAAACGCTATTTTTCTTAATATTTAAAAAAAAAAAAAAACTAAGTAAATCTAGGGGTAGCTAAAAGGGTCCTTTTTATACTACCTAAATTATTTAAATACTAAGCTTATATAAGTATTTTATATAAATAAAAAATACGACTTAGATAATTTTTATAAAATTATCCTAAATACTAAAATATTATAATAGTTAATAAAAGGAAAAGGGTAATTCTAAGTACTATAAAAAATCGCGCTAATAATACTTAATATATTAATAGTAGGTATTATAAAAATTAGCTTTGGCTTAAGTAAAGAAATCGCCGCCCTAAGTATAGTAAAAATAAAAACGTACTTTAGAATAATAACTTTTTATATTTTACTTATTAATACCCTATTTCTCTTATACTTAAAAAATATAGATCGACTAAGTATTATATTTAATAATATAAAAAATAGAATTTCTAATAATAAGTATTTCGAAATAATTAAATAATAATAGGGATATACGTTTATAAAGCTTACTAATAATACGAAATTAATTAATTATTTAATAAAAAATAAGCTTAAATAACTATACTAGAGATTCGGGTACCCGTTAGTTACGAGGCTATATAACTTTTTAAAATAATTAAGTAATAATAATATTAAAATAGAGGTACTAAAGTAGTTAATAAAAATATATTACTAATACTAAATAAATATATAGAGCCTACGCAAATTTAAATTTAAATTACGTAATAAGCTTAACTTTAATTAAAAAATTATTATTAATATTTTCTATTTAAATAGTTAGCTAGTCCTATATATAATTAACGTAGCTATACTTTTTTAAATAGGGTAATTCTTTTAGGATTTATAAATAAAAATAGTATAAGTAGCCCTATAAAAAGGATAGATTAATATATACTAAGGACCGCTAAATAGTATTAAAACCGACGCTAATATTAGTTTTAAGTTAGTAATAGAGAAGTCGCTGCTTTCCCCTCCGGGTTTGGCGGCACCCCCGTTCGGGTATAGCGTCCTCGCCGCTTTGCACCTCTACCCCTGTGAACGCCAACGAACTGCGCCCATAAATACGCAGACACGGGCGACTCGCAATGACAACTTTCCGTACACTCTACAACTTCTCTTATCAAACTCGCGACACCACCGCTTCTTGGTCACCCCCTTTTCCCTTCTACCTGGAACATGTTTGCGGGCGTCGCAAGCCGGCTGCTCCCATTCCATGCCCTCGATACGTCGCTCCTCATTACGTCTCCGCTATGCATATTTCCGGGCGCATAACCAAACTGGACACTCCCTCTTTGCCCCAATCCACTCATCTTCGCTGTATTCATCCAGATGCCGAAAGTATACTGAACGCAATACAGGCAAGGGAACAAGGCTTTCGGCATGCATCCGGCGAAGATGCCAATAACTCGACTTGCTGAGTGAAGCTAGCGACACCGGTATCACCCCGCTCACCTTTTGTTATGACGATGCAAACGAATGGTACGCCTCTCGATGCTTTTCGGGCAGCCTCGGTTGCTACCCCTATTCCACTGCCAGCATTCCCTGTTCGCTCTGCGTCGAACCCGTCAACTACGACTCCTGTTCGGTCCGATTTGCGAAACGCGCTTCTTGGGTTTGCCTTGGTCAACGGCTATTGTGCGCGTCTTCGACGCCTTGAACTTTCTACGAGTATGCCTCATGCTATGCTTCGGGAACTATACCTATGAGGCATGCCACCTGAGCAGAGGGTGGCATGATCTGTCCGGAGATGCCTCCTTTTCGGGAGTTAACGACTGCCTCTGCCGCTGAGCTGGGGGCGTGGCACTGCGCCGCTAGTCGGCGACTCCGAATTTTGCGAGGGATCATACAGGCAAGCTTGAGCTTCGGGTCACACCTTCATCCTCCGTAATCTCATTGAGTGGGCTAGGAAATGATGAGCTGAAGTTTGAGAGGGGCTGAAGAAGCGGTGAGGACGATCTCTGGTGCCATCCACGGAAGCACACAAGACCGTTAGCACTCTGGCGGATACGCCGACTTTGGTCGGGCAGCGCAACTCTACCCATGGTTAGTGTATGTCTATATATTTCGAAGAGAAGACGCCTTCAACTTCTTCTTTGAGCACTGCTTCTGGTCCTCTATATCTCGCCTGCCCAATCCTCTCTCCAGCCATGTCCGTCAATTTGGACAATATCTGTTTCTATCAACCACCAAGACCGGTGGTCCGTCAACAAGCACCCAAGGGAAAAGAACAACAGAGCAGTAGCACATCCCCCTCTAGCATGGAGGAAATTGTCGTGCAATCTGCGACTGAATCCTACACGCACCATGGAGCTACAAGCTCTAACGCAAACCCTGCTGCTTTTACCTCTGAGGCCTATTTGGAAACAGTCGGTGACGTGCTTGCCCAGATGGACAGCACTTCTTGCTGTACCAGCAGCGATTTTGGACCGGAAACATCATCTTTTATACCGGTGAAAGAGTCCACAGCAGTAGAATTAGACACGACGATCAACATTGGGACAGCTGGGACATCAGCTACCCGGTCATTATTCGAAGCGCCAATTCCCGCAACTTTCCGACTCTCCATGCTCACCGAAGCTTCAGCCGACTCACCGCCAACGTCGTGCCATGAAGCTGGAAATGAAGCGGACACAGCCGCTCCCCAAGCAACTGGCAATTATGCCCACTTGACACCAGAGACAACCCTTGATACCCATAGCGGAGCCATCACCTCGCCTTCTGGGCGGGAGCAACAAAACATCCCGCCACGCGTTTCACTGAGAGGCAGTCTTCCAGCCTGGCTGGAATGTTGTCGATCGCGGTCAGCTAGCAACGGGAGAACCCAAGAGGGCTTCGATCCTGTCATGATTGCGCCAGGGATCTCTGACTCCACGATGCAGTCGACTGGAGATGATCCAACGTCTCCGGCATCAGCATCATCTGCAACAACACCATCACGAGAAAGCGGATACAGCGTTACACCTGGTATTGATCGACTCGTCCTTGGACCAACCATCCCCGGGAAAACAACAGTCCCTAGCGTCGAGGAACCTAAGATCAACTCAGGAGGCGAAGCTGAGCCTGAAGCCATTGCTGAACCCTCTTCGACCAGCTGCATGTCATCGCTGGCGCCTCAAAGTGTCGTAGGCTTTGATAACACAGCCCTTATCTCCCTGACGGCTCCTCCATCTCCAGCCCCTTCAACTCCAGTCCTCCGCCGGTCCCGCAGGGGCACGGCCCCTATTGGTGGCTATGCTGAGGTTGATTCTGATACCGAAAGCAATGCTAGTGGGAGTCCGACCGCGTCTTCAGGTGACGACAGACCGTTTGGCAGGAGGAGCAGTCCCCTTGGCTCTCTTGGCCAGCCCGGTAACAAACGACGTAGGGCGTGCTCTCATGAGGAATTCGCCAGCGGAATAAGAGCGTCCAAAAGAAGTCGCGGATCGCAGGAAACATCGACTCAAGCTCTAACAACGAGAAGGTCGCGGCGGGTAGCAGAGCCTATGAAGCAGACTGATGTAATCAATCTCACACAATCAGAAAGCGCATCGGGTGAGGGGCAAAACACGGATCACGTTCTCGCAACATTCGACGAGTTTCCCCTACATTTGGCTCCTCTGACGAACTTCGTCCTCAAGCACACCATCGTCGGTCATGTGACGACGTTCACGATTGAATGGCAACAGGTGAACCCCCCTCACTATCGATGCCAAGCCCCGCCGAAGGTGATTCAGTCCCCACCCAGTCCTTCGCTGTCTGGGTCAGACCTCGCACAATTCCCACGAGGACACAGGCGGGCCTTTTCAAAAGACGAGGATAGACTTCTGTGCAAGTTGAAGCGGGAGGGGAAGCTTTGTTGGAAAGAAATCCACCGTCAGTTCTCTAACAAATTTCCGGGACGAACTATTGGAACACTGCGAGTTCGTTACAGTACCAAATTGAAGCATTGGATCAGTTTTTAAATTAGACCATCTCTCTTGCAACCGTTGCTTCGGCTGCCATGAATCTCTGGTGAAATCAAACATATTGATACGTGAAACGTCATGGTGACTAGTAGAGGGCGTGCGCTGCACCTGTATCAGTTCATGGTCTGAGCCGGACCTTTCGGAAAATGACAGCTGCTTCCCTAGCCAGTCCGTGGTATACAGTTGATCTTGAGAGACAAGACAAACGACCCTCGCGTGAGCGTCATCCACGAACGATGATCCAGTACAACTTGACAGTCATGTGTGACTTCCACGAGAATGTGCTTATAGCTGATTGTGATTGAAAGATAGTGTTGCTGGAAGGGTAATAGTGGCCACTTGGCCACACCGCCTGTCAAAAAGGTTTAACCCCACTATGTCCTATACCGCCTTCCCAGGCTCTGCTTGGTTGATGCACAACCTAGCGATACACCGCTTGCCCAAAAGGTTCAAATGTCAGCAGCAGCCCCCCTGTTTTTGTCACACCACCTTCCCTTGAAAGTTGGGGTCTAATCGCCACCTCTGACCACTTTCCGATTACAGGGACATATCGGCTCAGAGCCTTGACCGCCCTCAGACACCGCCTACGCAATACGACAAATCGTTTCTAAGTACTTACTGCTTTGTTGACCGCTTGCTTGACAGAGTCCCTGATCGATCTCGCGGGCTTCACCGCCTGCCGATTTAGCTCGACGCTATACGAGACATATCTACACCGCCTACTTGATTGCGTCGCGTCCCTCGATGCTTTGCTTTGACCAGCAGCGGACCATAGTTCGGAGGCTTGACCGCCCAAGTATACCGCCTTCCAAATGCACATCGCTCCCGTTCAGGTATACAGGCCGGCCGACCGCCTGCCCGAAACAGAAGTCATCATTTGCCACGATTTGTAAGTTTGAACCCATCGCGAAGTGCAGAACATGGATTCATTATCTCAGCCGTTGCTCTATGGCATACCAGACCAGCGTTGACATGCTTGTGATCCTGGCATTCTTCATCACTGCAATTGTCCGTCTCTTCGCCACCGCCGTGACCCAGACAACTTCCCTTGAGCGCTGTACCCATGCAACCAATTGGATTAGTCCCCACGGAATGGTCCCCTGGGATTACCCCTCTCTAACAGGCCTTCAGAAGACGCCAAAATGAATGGTCGGCTAACGAGAAGGGAAGAAGAACAATAGACCTCACCTTGCTGGTCCGATAACTTGATGGACGGTTCAACAGAATGCTCCCAGCTGTCCGAGCCGCGACACTGAGGGGGCGCCTACAGACCCTGTCTCAGTACACAGCCTACGCACACCGGTTGTCGAGAATGGAGCACTCACACCGTGACCGACACCAGCTGTATGTACACCGCCTTCCCTTCTTCTCAATGGAGTCGACAACACACCGCCTGCCCGAAAGCATTATGTATGCTGCCTTGGAGATTAGCGACACCGCTTTCCTTAATGATCGGACGAGACACCAGCGCCACCAATGACAACCTTGAGAAACAGTGGCTCTTGGCCAGCATTATACACCGCCTACTTGATTTGACAACCATCTTTTCCAAGCACCTTCACCACTTTCTTCACCGCTTGCTTTAAGAGTCACATAGTGGAGAAGTGATCTCCTCCATAACTGGGTTGAGTTCCACCGCTTACCATATCGGTGATCTGCCATCCAAGAAGCTTGACCGCCTACTAAGTAAGGAGACCGTCTTCCATTTCACGTCATAGCTTGTCTAGGCCTTTTCCTGTTGAGACACACTAGCAGATTTACCGCTTGCTGGAAAACAGAGCACTCAATATCTACAAGCCTTATTCCCATAACTGCCTAGCGCAGTGTAGCATATGGGCTCATTATCTCAAGCCGCTCCCACATGGCACACGTGACTAGGGTTGGCTCTAATGTTCTCAACTTTCAGGATCGTAGAGGTATCAAACAAACATGGATGTCCCAAAGGATTATACCGAGATACCGGACGTAGCGCGAAGAGGAGGGTAGAGATCGCGTTCCGCGAGCGGCGTGATGCCGCAAACCAGAAGAGCTCATGGCGCGATGCCCTTTACACCACGCTCACGCGGTTCGGTAACGTCAACATTGCAATCGTCCATCTCTCACCCTTTACTGTACTGTATGTAAGCACACAATGTAACGTCGCACTATGTCACTGGACCAGGCACGGGACCTCGTGCCAGGGTGTGTTGAGGGTATCGCGAGTTATAGCAAGCCCCTTTTCTAGTCGCCCCCTTCCTCTCCTGTCCTTCGCGCTACGTCTTGTATCTGGACCTGATTCTACCAGCACTTGTTTACCTATTGAAGAGTCACGGGAGCTGGAAACCTCACAAACTCTGGGGAATGCCCCATGGGGTTATTTTGAATTGCAGATGTAATTTATGCGCTTGCATCGCGTTCGTAAATTCTGTACATAAACACATTAGGTGCATTTGGCAGAGGAACATTGACCCAGACCCGCTACATCTGTTCATGGGAGCTCGGAACGACTTGTTCCAGCGTTGGTCAGCAATGCAAGCGAAGGAAGGTTCAAATCACGAGCAGAATGCAGCATTAAGGACTACTGTATTCGAAGGTGAAAAGACACTTCTTCACTTGTCATCTTGCATCTGTTGAAGGCTTTTGGGACTTCGGATTCGGATGCGAGCTCGCCACTCAATGACGGCATTCAAAGCAGGTCCTGGATCCAATTGGCGCAAGAAGCGAGGCAGGCACCAACAGTATCGCGGATACCATGAGCTGCTTACTGCGTGTGTATGGAATTGCGGCCTAAGTGAAAGGATGTCTCCCAAACGCGGTGCTCAAGTTGGATGAAGCCGCTTGTAGCTAACGCTGTCGACTGTAAACGCACACAACCAGCTGCTTTTGGCTCGCGCCATGTTGGCTTTGTATTATGAAGGTCAGCTGTCAGCAATCTGCTCGATAAGCTAGTCTTGGCTCCCATGAACGGTTGTATCGTGGTCTCTGTTAAGGTCTCCCTGCTCCCTCTCATGTACCTAAGCCGTTCCAGGATCGGAAGGTACGTGCTCGACAGACAGAGAACACATGCCAAGCCCCCCGGTTTTGCGCTCGATAGGCTACGTATGTACCTCAAGCTGTGATCGGAAGAATCATTCAACGTTGTTGGGTTGAGCGCTGCCAAAAAGCTCCGAAACGCGCTACGTGGCACTAGCACGATCCACCGCGTGGCGACTCTACGCACGTCCCGACGCTGTGGATCTCGAGCCTGATTTGATGCCCGTTACCGTTGCGAGGGAGGTGGTGGTAGCGAGCGACGAGGACCTGTGTTCACGAAGGGTGCGAAAACCATCCTCAAGAGCTTGACTGAACCAGACGTACCAAGAGATAACTGAAAACGCGATTGAGCGAGCGACCGAGACTGCTGGCGGTGGCCAGCCGGCGACCACACGCGTCGCAACCCTGGACAAGGAACGCGCGAAGCCCGCCCAAGATGACGATAAAGCGCTGCTCCTGACGATGGGCAAGCAGGCCAAAGAGCTACACGCAGCGATAAAGATCATGCTCGATGCGTGGAAGAAGTCGGAAGCATGGAACAAGAACGTTGAGGCGGAGCTTCGCGTGGTCACTTCGGAGCTGCAAACAGTTAAGAGCGAGCTACAAGCCGTCAAAGGAGAGCTAAAAGCGATGAAAGAACGCGTGGAAGACGAAAGCGCTAAGACGAACGAAAACCTCGAAGCAATCGCGGCAGTGGCTGCGACGCGGGACAGCCCAAGCGCGTCATACGCGGACGTCGCGCGAAGCGGCTTAGGCGGGCAAGGTCGCGACTCGCGGGTAGCTACGCCGGGCAACGCAACTCTGGCGAGCCGCAGCGACACTCTATTCTGTACGATCGACACATCAAGAGTTGAAGAAGGCAGCGACAAGCCCAACGCAGGTCGGGTTCGGGCTGCGGTGGAGAAGGAGATGCGCGCGATGGACGGACAGGGTAGCTGGCGCTGTCGGGCCATCACAGTAGACCCAAGGAATGCGGATAGGATCCGGGTCATTTGTCGCGACGATGCTGAACATAGGCTTGTCAAGCAGATCGCGGAGAAGAGCTTCGGTCCCGGCACACGAGTTCTACAGGACGAACTCTACCCCGTGAAGATCGATAACGTGAAGAGAACCGAGATACCGGACGAGAAGGGTAATGTCAGGGCTGAAGCGGCAGAGGCACTTAGCCGAGAAAACGAGACCAACGTTGCCAAGATATCTTGGCTGAGCAAGAAAGACAGGCCCAAGGCGTATGGGTCCATGGTCGTGTTCGTGACCAAGGCCAGTGATGCGCGTAGACTGATCTCCGAGAGCTTCTTCCACGTTGGAGGACAGTCCGGCACGACGATGGCATTTGAGCGGCGGCCACGTCCTCAACAGTGCTATAACTGCCAGCAGATCACCAGGCACAAGGCGTACCAGTGCGTGAACCCCCAGGTGTGTGGACGATGTGCCAAGGTAGGCCACCACCACTCTGAATGCGGTGAGACGATCGTGACATGCGTTCCCTGTGGCGGACCGCACGAGTCGTTCAGCAAGAATTGTCCGAAGCTGTATCCGCATTCCCATGAGTAAGAAGGTCCAGATCCTTCAGCTGAACGTGAGGAAACAGGCTGAGGTCCACGAGAGTTTGATGAATGACGAGGCGCTGCGCGACTTCACGGCCTTAGCGGTGCAGGAACCATGGGCGCGGAGGACAGAAGGTAAGGTCGTTACTGTTCCGATGGGACATAGCAGGTGGACGAGGATGGTTCCGACGGAGTGGAGGGACGAAGTAAGATGGGGGATCAGAAGTTTGCTGTGGGTGAACAGAGACATAGAGGCAGAGCAGCTGCCCATAGCATCGCCGGACATCACGGCGGCCGTCGTCCGGCTTCCGGACCGAAGACTGCTGGTGGCGTCGGTGTACGTGCCGGTGCAGAAGCCGGAGATGCTGCGGCAGGCGTGTGACTTGCTGAGGTAAGCCATCACGAACGTTCGAGGAGGAACAGGCGAAAGGGTAGACGTCGTCCTAGTAGGAGACTTCAATCGCCACGACTATCTGTCGGGAGGGGATGATGTGTTGGAGGACAGGCAAGGCGAGGCGGACCCGATCATCGATCTGATGAGTGAGTACTCGCTTCGCAGCCTCCTTCCGCGGGGTACGAAGACGTGGGAGAAGAACGATGCGGCAACGACAACTGACCTATCTCTTGCATCTGAGGAGATAGCAAGAACGGTGGTACGATGCGCCCTGCACGAGACAGACCACGGGTCGGACCACCGGGCGATCGAGACGACCTTCGACATTGCCGCGCCTGAGATGGAAAGCCGACCACGGCTCCTCCTCAAGAACGCCCCATGGAAGCAAATCAATGAGAGAGTGGAAGCAGACCTAGGGCGAACGCCAACGGGAGGTACAGTGCAGCAGCAGACAGATCGACTGATGTCCGTGGTGTGCGAGGCAGTATAGGCACTGACCCCCAAGGCCAAGCCATCTTCGTATGCGAAGAGATGGTGGACGGCCGACCTCACACAGCTCCGGCAGATCCACACTCACTAGAGGAACCGGGCGAGGGCGGAGAGAAGGGCAAACAACACCCAACCCGAGCTGGAAAAACGCGCCCGCTCGGCCGCCAAGCAATATCACGACGCCATCCGACAACAGAAGAAGAGCCATTGGGAGGACTTTCTGGCCGGCGACACAAACATCTGGAAGGCCGCGAAGTATCTCGACGCCAGCAAAGGGGCTTCCTTCGACAAGATCCCCCTTTTAAAAAGAGCCGATGGTTCCCCAACGGAAGACGCCGCAGAACAGGCCGAAGAGCTGCTCTCTACATTCTTGCCTCCTCTTCCCAACACGATTGAGGAGGAGGGGGGGCGGCCACAGAGGTCGCCAGTACCCTTCCCTAACCTCACGCTGGGAGAAGTAGAGAGACGGCTCTTTGCAGCAAAGCCGTGGAAAGCACCCGGAGAAGACGGTCTGCCGGTGACAGTGTGGAAGCACACATGGCCAGTGGTGAAGGGGAGGGTGCTAACACTCTTCCAGACCTCACTGGATGAAGGGACGCTGCCTCAGCAATGGCGCCACGCCAAGATCATCCCGCTGAAGAAGCCAAACAAAAGCGACTACGGCATAGCAAAGGTCTGGCGACCGATCTCGCTTCTCTCGCAAGCAGAGGTCGGCAGAGCAGGCGCTGGTACTGCTGCAGGAGTACATCTACAGAGCGTGGAGAAAGAGAAAGGTGGTCAGTTTGGTCAGCTTTGACGTCAAGGGAGCTTATAAGGGGGTGTACAAGGAGAGACTACTACAACGACTCAGGGCGCGGGGTATCCCCGGGAAGCTGGTGAGATGGGTTGATGCCTTCTGCTCCCACAGAACGGCAAGCATCCTGATCAATGGTCACGAGTCCGAGGCTCGTCTATTACTACAAGCTGGGCTGCCTCAAGGCTCGCCACTTTCGCCCGTGCTCTTCCTCTTCTTCAACGCCGACCTCGTACAACACCAAATCGACGAGAACAGGGGCGCGCTGGCCTTCGTCGACGACTACACGGCGTGGGTTACCGGCCGATCGTACGAAGCAAACCGCCAGGGCATCCAAGACATCATCGACCGAGCACTTGAGTGGGAACGACGAAGCGGGGCGACCTTCGAGACGGACAAGACGGCTATCATCCACTTCACGCGCAACTGGAGGCTGCCGCCAGACTCGACCGGCTTCATCATCAAACGCAATACTGTCCGACCAAAGGACCACGTCAAAGTACTAGGGGTGACGATGGACACGAAGCTTCGTTTCGAAAAGCACATCGCAGACGCGACGACGAAAGGGCTGGAGGCGGTGCTGGAGCTCAGGCGCCTCAAAGGTCTGTCACCGGCGACGGCCAGACAGCTTTTTGTTGCGGCCGAAGCACCGACGATGGACTACGCGTCGAACGTCTGGAGATACAGATGTCGAGCAGCACAGATGAGAGCGATCAACCGGGTGCAGAGGATCGGAGCCCAGGCGATTGTAGGGACCTTCAACACAGTGGCCACGGCGGTTGCTGAGGCGGAGGCAAGTATTCAATCAGCGCGAGAAAGATACGACAGGAGGTCAACGACGTTCTGGGTACGAATGCGAAGTCTTCCCAAGACTCATCCACTTCGACGTCCGCGGCCGGTGACATTTAGACGGTTTCCGTCACCCTTCCAATTGATGGCGGAGGCATTCCACGACCTGCTCCTTGACAAGCTAGAGACTATTGAAGCATTTTCGATGGCCACGTGGGAAGAGAGAATGCATACAGCAGTTGACAACGACGCAGCCAAAGCATCAGAGGCAATCCAATCGGGATGGGCAGTCAGGATAGCGACGGGGAGCTCGGCAAGAAACGGGGTTGTGGGCTATGGAACGGCTACAACGCTGCCTGTATCATTCAGAGGGGATGGCGGCGTTATGAAGGCCTCGCGCACGCTCGCTCTGAGAACAGAGCAGAACTCGTATGTAGCAGAGCTGGCGGCACTGGCAGAAGCGGTGAGGTCTCTACCAGAGAGGCTTGAATACCGAGCCGTCCATGTGTTTACCCGCAACAAGGCGGCAGTGTTGGCGATCCGCAACCCGCGGCAGCAGTCAGGCCAACGAGAGATCCGCCAACTGTATGCCGGCGTGCAAGCCCTTCAGAGAAAAGGCAACAGAATGACACTCTTCTGGCTTCCATCAGCGTCAGAATCAGACCTGTCGAAAGCGGCTAAAGCAGCAGCAAAGGAAAGCACGAGACCAAGCAAGACACCACATAAGAAAGCTACTAGAGCTTACTCGACCGCACTTAGAATCGCTTTACAGACCGTGCTGCAGACGTACAGAGCTTTGCCCGATAACGTAGGCGCATATTCGAAGAAGATCGATGTGGCTTTACCAGGAAAGCATACGCGCGATTTGTATGTCGGACTCTCCTGGAAAGAAGCCAGTATCCTGGCGCAACTGCGCACCGGCATGGCGAGACTGAATTGGTACCTGCACCAGATCGGTGCAGCTGCCTCGGCGCAATGCGCCTGCGGGCAAGCAGTAGAAACAGTAGAGCACTTCCTCTTCCGCTGCACACAGTGGACGGCACAGCGGACTCGGATGCTTCAGCAGACGGAATCGCATAGAGGGAACCTGTCGTACTTTCTCGGAGGAAAGAGCGCGTCCGATGCTGATGATTGGACGCCATGCATCGACGTTGTCAAAGAGACGATCAAGATTGCGATGAGTACGGAGAGGCTGGATGCACAGATCAGCCAGCAGCGGAACCACACAACACCTACATCAACACACTAACCGACGACAACCCCCCACGCACCCTCGTGCCATCGACAGCAGGACTGGCTTCGGCCGCCGACGATAGGACGCTGAACACTTTGGGAAACAACCACAAGATGGCCTGTTACTAACATCACGAGCAACCGCAGCATTGGAAAGGAGTCTTGAAGGTAATGCATATGGGGATAGACAGTACCCGTATGGGCTTCTGGGAGGCAAGGACATGAACGAAGGTAGAGATCATGTAGATAGTCATCTGAGCCCTTAATAGCTTAGCTGGGGCGTAATAAACTATGTATGTATGTATGTAATAGTAGATGGGGAATGGTGCTTCTTGTTCTTATCCTATGGTTTGCCTTCGGAATCATGTTGGGGAGATTTCTTGGGCTTTTATTATTTTCTTGCTGTCACTTGACGCT